CAGTACCCCCACCCCGCTGGCGTGCAGCGTACCACTCACGAAGCTGCTGAGGGGGGGGGATCTCACGAGTGCGCTGCTGCTGCTGCTGCTGCTGCTGCTGGCGCTGACCACCACCGGAGCCGACCCTCTGCGCAGCGCCACCCCGACCAGCTCCACCTCCTCCGCCGCCGCCTCCTCCACCGCCGCCACCTCCGCCACCTCCGCTCCCACCGCCACCGCCGCCGCCGCCTCCGTCTCCACTGCCGCCACTGACGCCCCCACCCCCGCCACCACCCCCACCGCCACCCCCACCCCCTCCGCCGCCTCCACCGCCCCCGCTAGCTCCTCCAGCGCCCCTGCCCCCCTTGCCCTTGCCAGTGCGGCGTCTCCCGCTAGGGGCAGACGCCGCACCGACCGACTCAAGACCAACGAGGTCGGCCGCAGCAGCAGAGGCAACAGAGGGCAAGAGAGGAGAGGGGGAGCACCCCTCAAAGACAGGGGCACGAGGGTCACCACGAGAGGCTCCTACAGCGACTATGCTCTTCTCTGCTGCTAGGAGGCGCTCCTCGAGGAGGTCAACGGTGAGGGTGGTGGGGCAAACAGAGAGAAAGTGGTCCCTGACCGGGCGAAGGGTGTCAGGGAGCCGGGTGACTACGTAGTAGAGGGTGATGTACATAGGGGGGGGGTTCTTGGCGCAGAACTCAGGAGGAAGGGCAGCGCGGTAGCGAGTGTCACTAGTGCGCAGGTGCGTAATGAGGTCAGCGACTGTGGGAAAAGCGGCGAGGTCAGGGAAGAGGTACGGCAGGATGAGGCGGCTAAGTGCAGCAGTGGCAGGGGAAGAGTAGCGTGCAACTACAGCGTCGTACAAGGTCTTAGCACTCTTGTACTGACTAAAGTGTGCACGCTCAGCGGTAGGCAAGTGGCGGCGCACAGCAAGACGGGCAGCAGCGTCGCGTGTGGCCCACTGTGAGCGAACAGTGGCGTCAGCATCAGCAGCAGGGGCAGAAGAGGCACCAGAATTGAGGTCAAAGAGAGAGAGACCGTCTGCCCTGTCGCACTGTAGGAAAAGCTGCAGGTCATCTACCCAGACGTCAAAGTCAATGGCCCGACCCTCAGCGTCAAAAGCGAGGACACTGGGGGTAGCCATGACAGCAGTAGACTAGCAGCTGGAGCAGTAGGGTAAGGGCAGCGCAGTGGTAGAGGTGCCGCTCTTACCGGACAGGGCGGCTCGGGCGGCTCGGCGGCTCGGCGGCTCGGCAGCAACTGCAGCTCGGCGGCTCGGCGACTCGGCGGCTCGGGCGGCTCGGGCGGCTCGGCGGCACGGCGGCTCGGGCGGCTCGGGTGGCTCGGGCGGCTCGGCAGCAGCGGCGGCTCGGTAGATCGGCGGCTCAGCGGCGCCTGCGGCTCGGTGGTGACGGCGGGGCCGCGTGGGGACGGCGGCGGGGCCAGGTGGGGCGGCGACGAGGCCGCTGAGGGCGGCGGCGGGGCCACGAAGGGTGGCGACCGGCGCCTTAAGGGTGGGGCCGCGGGGTCGCAAGGGTGGGGCGACGGGGCCAGCAGAGGCGGCGCCGGGGCCGGGAAGGGCGGCGCCGGGGCCGGGAAGGGCGGCGCCGGGGCCGGGAAGGGTGGCGCCGGGGCCGCAAGGGTAGGCGACGGGGCCGCGAGGGCGGCGTGAAGGGGTCGCGAGGGCGGCTCGAGGAGGCCGCGAGGGCGGCGCGAAAGGGCCGCGAGGGCGGCGCGAAAGGGCCGCGAGGGCGGCGCGACGCGACGGGACCGCGAGGGCGGCGCGACGGGGTCGCAAGGGCGACGCGACGGGGCCGCTAGGGAGGCGCGACGCGACGGGGCCGCTGAGGCGGCGCGACGGGGTCGTAAGGGCGGCGCGACGGGGCCGTGAGAGGGGAGCGCGACTCGGGCAGAGGCTAAGCGCGCTCCGGGCAGGAAAAAAAAAGTTGGTGGGCCCTAGGAACAGTTCCCACAGGGGAACCTGCTCTATACCATGTGAAAATGAACGAGGAATGAAAAGACTAAGGGAAAGTTGGGTACAAGTACAAACCCTAGAAAGCTGTACCCCATATGTGCTACCCCACTATAGCCTACAGCAGCTAAGTCATATAAATCTGACACCGTCCTTCTACAGGATTTCGGCAAAGGACTGCAACCCATTGCGTACGAGTCACGCAAAATGCAGCCACCCGAGCGCAACTACCCGGTCCACGACAAGGAGATGCTGGCCATCGTCCACGCGTTTCGAACCTGGCGCTGCTACTTAACGGGAGCCGACGTGACGATACGAACTGACCACAAGTCACTACAGTACATACGAAGCCAACCGACACTCAACCCGCGACAAATCAGGTGGCTGGACTACCTGGAATCCAACTTCACCTACACCATCACGTACAAGAAAGGCGCCAACAACATCGCCGACGCCCTGACCCGCCCATCAATGCAAACAGCAGCAGTACTTATCGCCCATTCCAACCCGCTATTATCGGGACTATTCACCCACGGCTACACGACCGACCGCTTCTATAAGCAAAACCTACACCACCAGGCCACGACGCAGCATGGGAGTTATTACCTAAAGGCCGGTACGAACAGGGTTTGGGTCCCATCATACCGACCCTTAAGAGAGTTGCTGACGCAGGAGGTTCATGACTCTAACCTCTCCGGGCATTTCGGCATCGACAAAACACTGAAGCTGCTGCAGCGGAATTACTACTGGCCCGATATGCTATCGGACGTGCAGCGCTACGTGACAACCTGCCCGACCTGCCAAGCCATGAAGTCGTCCCGACAAAAACCAGCTGGACTGTTGCAACCCCTCGAGCCACCCGGACGACCGTGGCAACAAGTGACGATGGATTTCGTCACGGGGCTGCCAGCTGGCGCAAGCGGCAACGACTCGGTTTTGGTCGTCGTCGACCGACTAACGAAAATGGCACATTTCGCACCATGCCGCACGACGATCACAGCCGAAGAAACTGCGAAGCTGTTCATCTCAACCGTCGTACGCCTACACGGGTTACCTTCGGCGATCATCAGCGATCGAGATCCGAAATTCACGTCGAAGTTCTGGCAGGAGACGTGGGCACAGTACGGCACACGCCTGCAGTTTTCGTCGTCTTACCACCCGCAAACCGACGGTCAGACAGAGAGAACCAATCAGACCATGGAGCAGCTGATACGGACCAACTGCCCCGACATGGCCAAATGGGAAGACTCACTTCCCATGCTGGAGTTCGCGTTTAACAACGCACCCTCCGCCACGACCAACCAGTCGCCATTTTTCCTAAATTACGGGATGGACCCCGTGGTACCCTCATCAACGACCCCTGACAACCCGGTCCCTCGGTCCCAGCAATTCGTCACGGAACTACAGGCAGCCCGTGACAAAGCAGCAGAGTTTATCCGAAAAGCAAATACGGTCGCTAGCCGTAACGCTGATAAGCATCGAAGGGATTTACCCTTCATCGACGGGCAGATAGTCCTTCTGGACACTAAGAACCTTCGACTGCCCCAACCAGCAAAACTTCGTCCCCGTTACGTGGGCCCGTTTCGCATTCTCAAGATGCTGACACCTGTCACGGCGAAACTACTACTGCCGGATGATTGGAAAATTCATGACGCATTCCACGTCAGCCTGCTGCGACATTTCGCACCACGATCATCCGATATCGCCCGACCCAGTATCGCCCCAAGTGTCCGCCCAGTGGCAGACCCGACACTCGAGCCATGGAAGATCCTCAACCACCGAGTCAATCTGACGGCCACGGGACGCCACGTCGTCTTCCTGCTTCGCTGGAAGGACCGCACGAGCGACGATAACACATATGTTGCCGCAGACTCGCTACAAGGACACCCGATTCTGCAGGAGTATTTGACTCGCCGGCGTGCCCCGGATATACACCACCTTTCTTAAAAGGGGGGGTAGTGTAAGGATTTTTCCCAATTCCTTACTGAGTCACACTGTACGCGTACAGCCCCAACTTTCGGAGTTCCAGGCTCGGTCCGCTGACCTCGCCCGCCGAACCATCAACTCGTCGCCTTCGGGTCTTCCCAACCCCGAACCTGCTCCGGACCTTTCGCGGTCCCGCAACCTCGGCCTAGCTAGTTCTCGCTATATAAGTGCTAGGCTTCATTATTCAGTTAGTAGTTGTTATCACTTCCGCGTTATTGAATCCTGCGCACTCTTCTTCATTACAACTCATAACACTGTACTCCCGGGTTGTTCACTCAGGATCTCGATGGCGTCATCCGTAACTCTCGGAACTGTCTCATTGATGCTGACGATGGTTCTCTGCTGCGTGTTTTCGGCCACCCGGGATCATTTGCGAATGAATCTCAGTTCACGTACAAACCAATCACTGCGAACCAAACTCCACACAGACGCCGTCGCGAAACAGCTGGTCTCATGTTCAGTTACACAAAACCGCTCGCAAGTGTTTTTGCGACGTTCGTGCGTGCTTGTTCTTGGGCTGCATGGCAATCTCAAGGGGGCGGAGGTCTAAACAAATACGCCCTCGATAGATTTCTTAGTATGGTTAGCAACAATCCCAAGGCAAGGCAAAGCTGACATTCTCGGAGATTTGAGTTTTCTTGTCACACACATCTGGATTTCTTACCATCAGGTCAGGAAGCAGCACAAGAATCTAACAACCACCATCAGGTCAATCTCGCTTCCAGGCCTGCCAAGACCATTCAGTCTTATCGCCTGATCCTCTCAGCTCCTTTCGCTATCAGGAGGTCCGCAGGCCTGTAAGATCTGCGAATTCGCGTGAACCGGTTCACGGATTGGCGTGATTGGTCAGATTCTGAGTGCTGTTTCAGTAGTTCCTGAACCCGGTTTCCATTTTCGATTGGAAGCCATTATCTTCATTCTAAACCGATTTAAGTCCAAAAGGTCCGCTTTTTGTCTCATAGATTCGGAGCACCTTGTCAATCCACGTGGCATTGCAACTCGGGTTGACGGGTCCAGACTTTTCATAGGTTGACGGGTCCAGACTGTAGCTTCACAAAAAATGGCTCACGTGCAGAATCCGTTCGACCTTTTGACGGGTGGAGGCGGCGCGGGCGGTGCTTCTGACGGGGGCTCCAAGAATCGCCGAAACCGGAAGAAGAAGCAGCAGCAATCTCAGGGAGACGACCAGCAGCAACAGCAGCAGCAGCAGCAGCAGCCGCAACAGCCGCAGCAGCAGCATAAGCAGGAGCCGGAGGTGGTTCAACCTGCACCGACCGAACCTCAGCCGCCAACAGCCGCTGCCGCTGCTTCGATCGGCCAGCAAGCAGACGCAGCTTCCCCCGCAGCTTCCTCTGCACCTTCCGCCGCACCTTCCGCCGCGAAGAAGAAGAAGGGGAAAGGTGCAAAGGCGAGGCAGCCTCGATGGGGGGACGAGGAGGAGGAACCAGCCAATGGCGCAGTCGCTGCTCCTGAGATCTCCTCCAAACCGGCAGAAAAAGCAGCCGCGCCGGCAGTTACGCCGTCATCCCCGCCGGCGGCCGGCACGGAGATTCCGCTTATCAAAGATCCCAAGGCGTACGAGACGGGGGGGCTGATGCCGGCGGAATGGGGAGCAGAAACAGCGCGGGAGGAAGCGTGGCAGCAGGGCGGGAAGAACAAAGGCGGAAAGCAGGCCAAATCCGCGGGTGCCGCCACCGGCGCTGCTCCGGCTGCGCGTGGCGGGAATGCCGGCGCTGCTGCTGCGCCTGCCCCGGGCGCGGGGGGAGCGATCAGCGCGGAAGCGGCGGCGCTGGAGGCGGCGGCGGAGGCGTGCGGAAGGGATGCGGAGGCGCGTGTGAGGCAGTGGCATGACTGGACTGTGCGCGCGCAGCAACTGCCCGCGCCTGGCGCATCAACGGCGTGGAAGGAGGTGCGTGGGATAGGTGAATCGGAGGACGAATATGGCTGGTTAGATATGATGATTGAGTCTTGAAACGTCTCAAAACATTATCGGATTGTATCTGCAGCAACTGCCGGCGCCTGGCACGTCAACGGCATGGAAGGAGGTGCGTGGGATCGATGATTCGGAGGACGGATTATGGTTGGTTTGTTTTGATGCTTGTTTGCGCTGCTTCTGGCATCGCGACTGCTGATGTATGGGGTGTAATGAGCTTGTTTGTCGTAGAATCGCGTTTTTTCTCTCCCTCTCTCTCTCTCTCTCTTTCTCAATTTCCTGCGGCAGATTTTCCTGAGGAGTCGAGCGCTGGAGAAGACAGTGGAGAGCTGCATCACGCTGCCTCTGTACCCTCACCACCTGCCGCACCTCCAGGTAGATTTGATCTGATACGATTGCTGTGATAGGGGTGGGGAAGGGAGGGTGAGGGAGAGGTGGGGAGGGAAGGAAGGGATTTTTTTCCATCCAAAAGGGTTGCACCACCTGCCGGTCCATTAGTTAGATTTGATGCGATCCGCATTTTCTTCCCTGATACTGCCACCTTGCGCCCTTCCCCCTCCCCTTTCCCATCTACCCCCTGAAACACAATCATTCTTCAATTTGCCCCCAACTCCCTTTCCTCTCCCCCTTCCTCTCCCCCTTTCCCCTCTCCCGCCGCTCCCCTTTCCCACTCCCTTCCCCGTCCGTCTTCTCTTGCAAACGTGAGCGTACACCAGGCGCTGCTCTCCGTGTCCCTGGGTCATCAGGAGGCGGCTCAGGTGATTTCTCAGGTGGCGTCGGACCTGTCTCAGGTGCTATCCGAGGAAGGCGCCGCCCTGGGCCTCACAGGTGGATCTGCAGGCAAGGGAGCAGCAGGAGGGGATGTGCGTGCCGCAGCTGCGAAGGCTTTGGCTGCCGCCGTGACTGCAGTGAAGGTGCGTGTGAAGTGTGAAGGGTTGCGGTTACATCTTGCGGTTACACCTCCCTGTTCGAGCCATCTTACATTCACCAACTCCTGATAGATTTCCTCTGGCTGTACATTTGTTTTTTTCTCCTGAAAGTTCGTCGCACATCCGTTTCTCTATCATGCTCCCTTAACATTCTTATCCGCCACTCTCGTGCAGCTGAGTGGGTCAGGATGAGCTGCCGCACATATGTGACTCCATGTTAATCCATTGCACTTTCATCCACCCCTCCCCCATCCGCATGCTCCCTTAACATTCATATCCCCCACTCTCGTGCAGCTGGGTGGGTGGGTCAGGATGAGCTGCCGCACATATGTGACTCCATGTTAATCCATTGCACTTTCATCCACCCCTCCCCCATCCGCATGCTCCCTTAACATTCATTTCCCCCACTCTCGTGCAGCTGGGTGGGTGGGTCAGGATGAGCTGCCGCACATATGTGACTCCATGTTAATCCATTACACTTTCATCCACCCCTCCCCCCATCCGCATGCTCCCTTAACATTCATATCCCCTCCTCTCGTGCAGCTGGGTGGGTCAGGATGAGCTGCCGCACATATGTGACTGACTCCATGTTAATCCATTACACTTTCATCCACCCCTCCCCCCATCCCCATGCGCAGCTGGGCGGGTCTGGGTGGGCAGTGGAGCGCATTGCAGCACAGCTTGGTGACGCTGGCGTGTCTTCAAAGCTGCAGGAGATGCAGGCCAAGGTAAGCCAGTCAGGGGATAGTGCTGAAGCAGAAATGGGCCCGGGCTGGGGGCGGAAAGGCAGAGGGTCAGGGTGGGCGATGGGGCGCATTGCAGTACAGCTTGGTGACGCTGGCGTGTCTTCAAAGCTGCAGGAGATGCAGGCCAAGGTAAGCCAGTCAGGGGATAGTGCTGAAGCAGAAATGGGCCCGGGCTGGGGGCGGAAAGGCAGAGGGTCAGGGTGGGCGGTGGAGCGCATTGCAGCACAGCTTGGTGACGCTGGCGTGTCTTCAAAGCTGCAGGAGATGCAGGCCAAGGTAAGCCGGGGTGGACAAACTGGGCTATAGGCGGGAAGGGTTGAGGGCGGAAGGGCTGGGGGCAGGTCTGCTTTTGAGTCGACTCAAAAGCAAACTGGGCTATAGGCGGGAAGGGCTGAGGGCGGAAGGGCTGGGGCAGGAGGGATGAGGGCGGAAGGGCTGGGGCAGGAGGGATGAGGGCGGAAGGGCTGAGGGCGGAAGGGCTGGGGCAGGAGGGATGAGGGCGGAAGGGCTGAGGGCGGAAGGGCTGGGGGCAGGTCTGCTTTTGAGTCGACTCAAAAGCAAACTGGGCTATAGGCGGGAAGGGCTGAGGGCGGAAGGGCTGGGGCAGGAGGGATGAGGGCGGAAGGGCTGAGGGCGGAAGGGCTGGGGCAGGAGGGATGAGGGCGGAAGGGCTGGGGCAGGAGGGATGAGGGCGGAAGGGCTGAGGGCGGAAGGGCTGGGGCAGGAGGGATGAGGGCGGAAGGGCTGAGGGCGGAAGGGCTGGGGGCGGAAGGGCTGGGGGCGGAAGGGCTGGGGGCGGAAGGGCTGGGGGCGGAAGGGCTGGGGGCGGAAGGGCTGGGGGGTGAAAGACTGAGAGAGAAGAGACACAGGATCAGGGTGGGCAGTGAGTGGAGCGCATTGCAATGCAGCTTGGTGACGCTGGCGTGTCTTTGAAGCTGCAGGAGATGCAGGCCAAGGTGAGTCAGGGGATACTGTGAAGGCAAAAAACGTTTTAAAAGAAATGGGGGCTGGGCAAAAGGGTTGAGGACGAAAGTGTGGGTGGAGTTTCAAATTCGGAATTTGCCTAGGCAAGGGGACTTGTGATTGGCAGCACGCAGCAGCAGTCGCACTAGCAAATGCTTATTCCTCCCATTCGCCCCTTATCCAGGCTGCGTCAATGGAGCATCAGCTGCAGCTCATTGCGGCAGGAGGAGCAGCGGCAGCGGCAGCAGTGGGAGGCACGGCAGCAGCAGAGGAGGGAGGAGCAGCAGCTCGTGGCGTGTACGTGCTTTGCGTTGCCTTGCCTTGCTTTGCTCTTCTCTTCTCTTCTCTGCTCTGCTCTGCTGAGTTTTGAGACGTCTCAAAACGCAGCAGCAGAGGAGGGCGGGGCAGCAGCTCGTGGCGTGTACGTGCTTTGCGTTGCCTTGCCTTGCTTTGCTCTTCTCTTCTCTTCTCTGCTCTGCTCTGCTCTGCTGAGTTTTGAGACGTCTCAAAACGCAGCAGCAGAGGAGGGCGGGGCAGCAGCTCGTGGCGTGTACGTGCTTTGCGTTGCCTTGCTCTGCTCTTCTCTTCTCTGCTCTGCCCTGCTGTGCTCTGCTCTGCTCCCCTCTGCTCTGTGCTGCCCTGCTATGCCCGGCCCTGTTCTGCTGTGCCCTTGCCAGTTTCTTGCAACTTGATCACTTTCCAACTTAATCACTTTCCTTCTTCCCCTCTGTTTTTCTCTATTAGAAAAAAAATATTTGCATCTGTCAAATATAACTGAATCTTAAATTTTGCTCCTTCTCTTCGGTTTCCCATCCACAGGGCCGTCACTAACAGAGTGCCTCCTCTACCATTTCCCACGTGATTGAAGAAGTGTTTTGAGACGTCTCAAGACACGTTTCCGATCCCCAGTGCCGTCACTAACAGAGTACCTCCCTTTTCTCCTCTACCATTTCCCACGTCCCTGCTTGTCCCCTTACAGGCGGCTCTCCCAGCTGGTGAACATAACAGAGTCGCGAATCAACCTCCTGCTCTCCACCCTGCAATCCCCAGCGCCATCCCCTGCCGAATCCTCCTCTCCTGCTGCAGCCGAAGCAGCCGCTGCTGCCGCCCAAGCATTGCAGTCTGTGCGCGACCTCACAGCAGAGATTGTCCGGCGGAAAAAACTGCAATCCCCAGCGCCATCCCCTGCCGAATCCTCCTCTCCTGCTGCCGCCCAAGCGTTGCAGTCTGTGCGCGACCTCACAGCAGAGATCGTCCGGCGGAAAAAACTCCCACCGGCACTTAGCTCCGCCGCTCAGGGGAAGGCAGGAAAGCTGGTTACCACAGCGGTTGCGGGGGTGGGTGGGGGGGGGGAAGCCGGCGCTGCTGCTGCGGCTGGCGGTAGTGCGGGAGGGGGACCAGCGGAGGGGGAGGGCGTGTGGGAGACGCAAGGGGGAGGAGGGAAGGGAGGGAAGAAGGGCGGGAAGAAGGGGGCTGGAGACAAGGGGAAAGCAGCACCAGCAGCAGCTGGAGCAGGGGCAGCAGCAGGGGCGGCTGCAGTGGAGGAGGCGAGGAGGAAGCTTGAAGAGGCAGCAGGGGAGAGTAGCAAGCTGCGGGGTCAGGTGGAGGCTGCAGAGGCAGAGGCATCGAGGCTGCGGTCGCTGTGGCTGGATGCAGAGGCGCGGAGGAAGCAGCTTGAAGAGGTGTTGGCTGCTGCCTCTGCTGCTGCTGCTGGCGGTGGTGCGAAGGTGAGATCGAATTTGACTTGTATCTTTCAGGGAAAAGGGCTGCAAAGGCAGAGGCATCGAGGCTGCGGGTGCTGTGGCTGGATGCAGAGGCGCGGAGGAAGCAGCTGCAGGAGCAGGTGCTGTCTGCTGCCTCTGCTGCTGCTGCCGGTTCTGGTGGAAAGGTGAGTTCAAGATAGACTTGTAATTTGTGGATGGATGCAGAGGCGCGGAGCAGAGGAAGCAGCTTTAGGAAGCCTTAGCTGCTGCCTCTGCCGCTGCTGCTGGCGGTGGTGGTGCTGGTGGAAAGGTGAGCTCGAATTCGACTTGTATTTGGTAGAGAAAGATTTTGTGAGGCAGAGGCGTCGAGGCTGCGCTGCGGGTGCTGTGGATGGAGAGGAGCACTGCACCCGCAGCGCAGAGGGTGGATGCAGGGTGGAGTAGAGTGCTCCTCTCTCTGCTTTGGAAGCGGCTAGAATGCTTCTGAGCCTCACAGAGCTCTTCTGAGTGCCCTGCTCGTTTCCTTTCCCATGCTTCTCTCCCGTTTCCGCCATGCCCCCTGCACCCAGTCCCCTGCAGCAGCAGCCCAGAACGGAGTCCCGGCACCAGTAGCACCAGTAGCAGCGGTTCAGCCCGACCAGCAGCAGGGGCAGCAGCAGGGGCAGGAGGGGCAGCAGCTGACCCCAGAGCAGCTGCACCAGCTGCGGTGTGCGCAACAGCTGGGAGTGGTGCATGCACTGGAATCTGTGCTGCAGCGCCCCCACATGCCCCTGCCAGGGCACGCCGGTGGGCCCTTCTCGGTGAGAGAAAAAAAAAAAAAAAAAAAAAAATGAAGAATGAGTAGGATCGTTTTTCTGAGTGAGAGCAAGAGAAGGAGAGAAAGGAGCGAAGGAGAAAGTGAAAGAAGATTGAGGAGGGTTGTTCTCAGTGAGTGAGACTGTGAGAGTTCTGTGCCTTTCTGCCTATGCGTCACTACTCACCAACCTCTCCCCTCCCCTACTTCCCACCCCCGTCCCCCCGTTTCCTCCTCCACCGCCTCCGTTTTACCCGCTCACGTTCTTGAGAAGCCTCAAAACTCTTGCCAACCCCTCCTCACAACTCAACCACTCCCCCCCCCGTTTCCTCCTTGTGAATTCCATCCTCTCTCTGTACTCTCTGCCCCTCCTCCACTCCCACTCTCCCACTCGCAGGGAGCTCCGGATCGGGAAGCGGCAGTGATGGCAGTGGTGGGGCAGGCAGTGGAGAATCACCTCAGTGCGCTCTCGGCGCTGCTGCACGCCAAGCTGGACCAGCTCAAATCGTAAGCTTCCTTGTGTCGTCAGGTAATTTTCCAGGTGGTTTTTATAAGTTTTCTAAGAATAATCTCAGTGCAGTCGTTGCCATAGCACCCTGACTTTCCAGGCGTTTCTTTCTCTCGTGAACTCTGGCTGTTGTTTTAAGCTCTGCTGGCGAGAAGGCAATCAGGCCTGTTTTCTCACTCGCCCCACCCTCTCCCGTGCCCTCCCCACGTTCCCTCCCTCCCAACCCTTCTCTCCCTTTCCAGCGCTGGCAAACGCCTGCAGTTCTCGCAGGAGAAGCTGCAGAAGCACACTCTAACCCCCCTGTTGTCCCCCACTGCCTCTCCACTCTCACCACCAGCGCTGGTAAACTCCTGCAGTTCTCCCAGGAGAAGCTGCAGAAGATGGAGGCTGAGAAGCACACGCTTGCCCCCCTGTCCGCCCTCCTGTTTTCCCCGACTGCCTCTCCACTCTCACCACCAGGGCTGGCGAGCGGCTGCAACTCTCACAGGAGAAGCTGCAGAAGATGAAAGCAGAGAAGGATGCTCTTACCCCCACCCTCCCCCACCGTCCCCTACCCTCCCCACCATCAGGGCTGGCGAGCGCCTGCAGTTCTCGCAGGAGAAGCTGCAGATGATGAAGGGGGAGAAGGATGCTCTTTCCATCTCTCTCTTCCCGTTCGCCCCACTGCGCTCCCCTTCTCATGCCCCCCGGCCCTCGTTCCCTTGTCCCACCATCAGGGCAATTCTCGCAGGAGAAGCTTCAGAAGATGAAGGCTGAGAAGGACGCTCTCCCTCCTATCCTCCCCCACCCTCCCCTACCCTCCCCCAACCTCCCCCAACCTCCCCCCCCACCTTTTTCCGCACATCAGAGCTGGCGAGCGGCTGCAGTTCTCTCAGGAGAAGCTGCAGAAGATGAAGGCTGAGAAGCACGCTCTTTCCATCTCTCTCCGTTCGCCCCACTGCGCTCCCCTTCTCATGCCCCCCCCTGCCCTCGTTCCCTTGTCCCACCATCAGGGCCGGCGAGTGACTGCAATTCTCACAGGAGGAGATTCAGAAGATGAAGGCTGAGAAGCACACTCGTACCTCCCTGTCCGCCCTCCTGTTGTCCCCCACTGCCTCTCCACTCTCACCACCAGGGCCGGCGAGCGACTGCAGTTTTCACAGGAGAAGCTGCAGAAGATGAAAGCAGAGAAGGATGCTCTGAGGGGCAAGCCACAGCTGGTGAGTCGCCCGGTGGGGGAATGGGGTGTCACGCTGCTGGGTCACTGTGGTTTCACACCACAGCCTGTCACGCTGCTGGGTCACTGTGGTTTCGCTTTGCACCACAGCCTGTCATGCTGCCGGTTGGTGGTGGTGACTGGTCCACCCTCATTCTTAACACAAGCTGCTGAGTGGTGGTGACTGGTCCACCCTCATTCTTAACACAAGCTGCTGAGTGGTGGTGACTGGTCCACCCTCATTCTTAACACAAGCTGCTGAGTGGTGGTGACTGGTCCACCCTCATTCTTAACACAAGCTGCTGAGTGGTGGTGACTGGTCCACCCTCATTCTTAACACAAGCTGCTGAGTGGTGGTGACTGGTCCACACTCATTCTTAACACATGCTGCTGAGTGGTGGTGACTGGTCCACACTCATTCTTAACACATGCTGCTGAGTGGTGGTGACTGGTCCACACTCATTCTTAACACATGCTGCTGAGTGGTGGTGGTGGTCCACACCACACCTCGTTCCAAATCGTTTCAAGCACCTTTCATTTGGCACCTGGAAAAAGGTTCAGCTCCACTTCTCCCATATTCGGTCCCCTTCCTTCCCACTCCCATTTTCTGGCCCCTCCCACTTTCATTCTTCCCTCTCCCATGTTTGTTCCCCTTCCTCCCCTCTCCCATGTGGGTTCCCCTCCCCTCTTCCATGTGGGTTCCCCTCCCCTCTCCCATGTTTGCTCCCCTCCCCTCTCCCATGTGTGCTCCCCTCCCCTCCCCCCCCCCGCTTGCGCTTTGGCAGGCCGCAGCTCTCGCCAGGCCGCTGCAAGCCATTGAGCAGATGCACAAGGTGCGGTGGTGCAGGGTGGGGCAGGGTGGGGCAGGGTGGGGCAGGGTGCGGCAGGGTGGTGCGTGGTGGAGGGTGTTGCAGTGTGGGCCAGGGTGATTCTATGGCGGGGTGGCGTGACACAGTGATTGTATAGCAGGGTGACTGTATGGCAGACTGATTGTATGGCCTCCTCTCACTTACCTCCCAACCTCAAATCATCCAAACCGACCAGAGTGGCGGAGGTGCAGTGCAGTCAGTGCGTAATTGAAGCAGAGGCGTTGGACTTTTGAGGCGCCTAAAAAAATCCGCGTGAACTGGGTCGACTTTTGAGGCGCCTCAGAAGTCGTCTCAGTTCACGACTGATTGTATGGCCTCCTCTCACTTACCTCCCAACCTCAAATCATACAAACCGACCTGAGTGGCCGAGGTGCAGTGCAGTCAGTGCGTGATAGAGGCAGAGGCGTTGGAAGCAGCGCTGCAGAAGCCTCAGCTGCTGCACTCCAATGCTCACCTGCCCCCTATGCTATTCTGTCCTGCTTACCCCTTCCCAATCCTAACGTCAGACCCGAGTGAACGAAGTTCAGTCAGTGATGGCAGAGGCAGAGGCGTTTGGAAGCAGCGCTGCAGAAGCCTCAGCTGCTGCATTCCCTTGGTCCCTGGTCCTCTTTGTGCTCTCCTCTCCCCCTTACCCTTTTTCCCTCCCAACACCAGACCCGTGTTTCTGAGGTCCAAATGGTGATGGCCGAGGCGGACGCGTTGGAAGCAGCGGTGCAGAAGCCCCAGCTCTGCTGCATTCCCATGTTCACCTACCCCTTAATATGCTCTCCTGTCCCCGCATATCCCTTCACATCTCAAACCATCCAAACAGACCCGTGTTTCCGAGGTCCAGTCAGTGCTGGCCGAGGCAGAGGCGTTGGAAGCAGCGCTGCAGAAGCATCCGCTGCTGCACTCCAGTGCTCACCTGTCCCCTTCTATACTCTCCTGTCCCTCTTACCCCGTACCATTTACCCCTCCCAACGTCAGACCCGAGTGAATGAAGTCCAGTCGGTGATGGCCGAGGCAGAGGCACTGGAAGCAGCGCTGCAGAAGCCCCAGTTGCTGCATTCCCCCTCCTGTTCCCTTGTCCCCTTACCCTTCACCCCCCCCCCACCCCCAAACTACAGACCCGAGTGAATGAAGTCCAGTCAGTGATGGCCGAGGCAGAGGCGCTGGAAGCAGCGCTGCAGAAGCCCCAGTTGCGGTCGGCAGTGGCGCTGCTGCCGCCCATGCCGTCAGTCAATGATTTCCTGCAGCAAATAGGCGTCACGCTGCACCAGGTGAGACAGAGATTAGGCATCACCCTCGCCAGGCAGGGGGGGATACAGTGAGGCCCAGCTGTGCACTCACCAATGGTGGCGCCGCTGCCGCCCATGCCGTCAGTCAACGACTTCCTGCAGCAAATAGGCGTCACGCTGCACCAGGTGCGAATGAGTGAGAGTAGAGTGAGATCACAAGTGCATTGTGATGTGTGCTCTCACCAGCCACCACTGGCTCTGCTGCTCCAGCCCTCCTACTCCATTCCATTCCCTTCTCTAAACTCAATCCTCCCTCCTTCCCTCCCCTCCCCCTCTTCCCAGGTGCACCAAGAATATGCTGCCATTCAGGCAGGTGCCGCCTTTGAGTCGACTCAAAAGCATTCTCTCCCCTCCCCTCCCCTCCGCCTCTTCCCAGGTGCACCAAGAGTATGCTGCCATTCAGGCAGGCGCTGCCAACTCAGCTGCTGCCTCTGCCACTCCTCTAGCCCTCCTACTCCACTCCGTCTTTCCCTCTCAACGCAATGCTCTCCCCTCCCCTCCCCCTCGTCCCAGGTGCACCAAGAATATGCTGCCATTCAGGCAGGTGCCGCCTTTGAGTCGACTCAAAAGCATTCTCTCCCCTCCCTTCCCCCTCTTCCCAGGTGCACCAAGAATATGCGGCCATTCAGGCAGGTGCCGCCAGCTCAGCTGCTGCCTCTGCCGCCGCTGCTGCTGCAGCTGCTGCAGCAGCCGCTGTGCCTGCCGCCGCGCCAGGTGCCGCTGGGAAGAAACAGGAGAGGGGGGTAGGGAGGAAAGGGAACACTGGTGGCCCTGCTGCTACCGCCCCTGCTGCCCCTGCTGCTTCTGCCCCTGCCGCGACCCCTGCCCCTGCTCCTGCTGCAGCTGCTGTGCCCGTGCCTGCTCCTGCGCCTGTCGCTGTGCCAGCACCAGCACCAGCAGCAGCAGTGGAGGAAGCAGCAGCAGCAGCACCCAAGCCAGCTTGGGGGGTGCAATCCGCTTGGGGGGGTTCGGGCTTTGGTGGTGTGATTGGGATGATGGGGCTGACGGGATGATAGCAGAGAGGATGAGAGGGTAAGAGGGTCGTGAGATGAGTAAGACGATACAAGGGGATTTGGATCACTGAAATTTTGTTATAATCTGTGGCTAATGGGTTCAGTGTTATGGCACAGGAGGGAATGATGAAAGAAGTAGCCTTACCAGAATCGTGATGGAGTGGGGGAGGGTGTTGCTTTCTGGCGGAGGTATTTATGGGGAAAGAGGGGAGGTTGGGAAGGTGCGAACTGGGATACGGTAGTAGTTTGGGAGAATGGGGAGGAGTTTTCGACTGCTAAACCATGTTGGGGTGATGCAGCAGCAGACTGGTTCTGTCTGTGCGCTTCTTTCAGTGAATACTTTGATTCGAACGTAAAGCCTTGTTGGTATCACATTGCTGTGGAGTGGACTCTCTAAAAGACATTTGGTACCGTATAAACCTCTGTATGCAAATGTGGTGTTTTCATGAGCGGATAGCTTCAATGCTTTCGGATCGCATCAATGTTTTCATGTCCGCAGTAATGAGACCACTGTATCAGGGGAAACTTGAGCGATTTTCCAGTGAATAAAGCACTTCAACATTTGTTTCTTTCCAGAGCCCCTAAGCAGGGTTGCAGTCTGTGCTGTATCTGGATACTGACCAGACCCAGTGTTTGGGGAAACCAAGCACACAGCATGATTCAACCCTTCATGAAGGCCAATCAGCCTTGAGCCGGCAAGGCAACCCTAATCTCCCTTCTCCTCCTACGGTAAAAGCCTATACGGTAGATTGGTTGATCAATAATAAACGACAGCTCTCACCGTATGTCCGTAAAAAAGCTGGCATATTGTTGACTAGTCTGGGAATGAATTTCTATGCTTGTGTTGTCCAAATTATCATGTCCAGTCACCACTAGCCGAACGATTGGGTGGGTGTGGTGGTCGAGACGAGTACCCCCCCACACCACCACCAGAACCACCGCCACCACTCTGCGACGCCGAGACAAGAACAAACCCCGGGGTCTTAGTCAGGACAGGCGAGTCACCCCCCCCAGCCTCCCCTGCTTCAAGCTTCAGCCTCATTACCTCCTCCTCCAGCCCCCCGCTTTGACTCCTCCTCACTGTCCGCATCACACCGCCTCGACTCTGGGAGGTAGGTTGAAAGGAGCCTGTTCTGCGTAGGTACGGCTGCTGTTGTTGCTTGGGTTCGTATGCTGGTAGAGACTGGGAATAGCCCATCGCACCAGACGCAGGACCAGCAGCAGCAGCACCAGCGCCACCAGCAGCAGCACCAGCAGCAGCAGCAGCATCAGCAGCACCAGCAGTAGCGGCAGCAGCTGCACTGGTGGTGGGAGCTGCTAGTGTGGCGCTCCGAAATCTGTCCCGGAAACTCATCCCGCTGCTCCCATTTCCACCACTCCCATTCCCGCCCAACCGACTCATCCCTGCCGCCGCTACAGACGAATTCCGCAACTCGGGACTTCTGGGCGGCCGCGTGTCCCATCTCCCACCACCTGACTTCCCACCTGAAATTCCACCTGAACCTCCACTCACCCCCCCACCCCCACCAGGGCTCGACACCCCCGAATCCGACACCATACTCCCGCCCCGGAAATGCCTCGCGCCCTTCCCGCTGCTCCCACTCCGGCTCGACTCAAAGCTGCGAATACTCGCTGAAGATTCACTTCCTCCGGAGACCGAAACCGCGTCAAAGACCGTATCGGGCATGAGGAGAGAGAAGGTGGGGTGTCGGAGGTGCTGGGGGCGAGGGTCTGAGGGCGCGTCTTGCAAGGGGAAGAGCTGGGGGTTGTTGAAAAGATGGTCTGCGTGAAGGACGTCGCGCAGGCGAGCTCGGATGTTGGCGGCGGCTCCCTCTAGCACTCGAGAGTAGCTTTCAAGGACCGCTTTTCCAATGTCCTGAAGTGATGAGGGCAGCGGGAGGGGGACGGATGGAACGAAGGGAGGGTAAGAGAAGGAAAGGTGGGGTGTCGCAGGTGCTGCGGGCGAGGGTCTGAGGGCGCGTCTTGGAGGGGGAAGAGCTGGGGGTTGTTGAAAAGGTGGTCTGCGTGAAGGACGTCGCGAAGGCGAGCTCGGATGTTGGCGGCAGCCCCCTCTAGCACTCGAGAGTAGCTCTCTAAGACTGCCTTCCCAATGCCCTGATGGCCAGGGGAGGGATAGCAGGATGGACGGAACGGGGGCAACCAAGAGTTGGTGCGAAAAGGGAGATCTGGGTGGGTGCATGTGCTGTGGTGTGGACGCGGGTGAGGCAGTTACGTCTCAAAACTGTGGTGTGGACGCGGGTGAGGCATCATCAGTCTGAGAGAGGGAGGTTCGGCCACCAGGCACAATCAGAATACTTGCCCACCCATGACCCAAGGTGGTCTGGGGGAGGTCGGGTCACACATGTGTCGAAGGGCAAGGCAAGGATGCAGCAAGGCATGATGCAGCAAGGCATGATGCAGCAAGGCATGATGCAGCAAGGCATGATGCAGCAAGGCATGATGCAGCAAGGCATGATGCAGCAAGGCATGATGCAGCAAGGCATGATGCAGCAAGGCATGATGCAGCAAGGCATGATGCAGCAAGGCATGATGCAGCAAGGCATGATGCAGCAAGGCATGATGCAGCAAGGCATGATGCAGCAAGGCATGATGCAGCAAGGCATGATGCAGCAAGGCATGATGCAGCAAGGCATGATGCAGCAAGGCATGATGCAGCAAGGCATGATGCAGCAAGGCATGATGCAGCAAGGCATGATGCAGCAAGGCATGATGGAGCAAGGCATGATGCACTCCATTCGCCCAATGAAAGAGCACAACCAAGCACAACATAACACCTTGGCACAGCCACGCACAATTGAATCTCTCTCTCTTGCTCTCACCCGGTTGAATGCGATTTTGGCAAGATCCAAAGTGGTTCGGGGGAGGTCCGGCCACATGCGGCGGATGGCAGCATGGCAGGCAGGCAGGCACGATGCCAATCTCTCCCGCCCATGACCAATGCACGGTGCTTCAACCAGACACATATATGGTACAGCTTTCTCCTTCTCACCCGGTTGAATGCGATTTTGGCAAGGTCCAGAGTGGTTTGGGGGAGGTCGGGTCACATGCGGCGGATGACAGCGAGGCACGATGCCACTCCATTGCCCCAAAGGGCCAAAGAGGTAGCACAACCAGAACATGACCTTGGCCCATCTAGACACAAACAGAACCCTCCTTCTCACCCGGTTGAATGCGATTTTGGCGAGGTCCAGAGTGGTTTGAGGGAGGTCGGGCCACATGCGGCGGATGGCAGCGAGGCATGATGCCACCCGCTCCAGATTCTCCTCCAGCCGCATGATCTCGCGGCTGCTAGTGGACAAATAACTGCCGCCCAGCGTGTGCGTGAGGTACGGCTCCCTGCGTTGGCCGCAGTGACATGGTGAGGAAAGGGGTGAGGGATTCGATTTGTTACTTTAAAAGAAAACCAGAGAGCTTCTGTTTGGGAGCAAATGCTTGGGGACTGTGAGGTACGGCTCCCTGCGTTGGCCGGAGTGACATGATGTGGGAAGGGGCGGGGGATTGGATTCTAAGTTAAAAAAGCCAGGGTGCTCCTTGGTGTAGGGGCGAATGTTTGGGAACTGTTGACTTTTGAGTCGACTCAAAAGTCAACTCGATTCTAAGTTAAAGAAGCCAGGGTGCTCCTTGGTGTTGTAGGGGCGAATGTTTGGGAACTGTGAGGTGGACAATAACTGCGAATCAAAGGAGAAACAAGAGGAGGTAAAAATGATAACTAAGAAAATCAGGAAAAAAGCAAGGAGGGAGTGGGGGGTGGGGGGGGGTTGGGGGGCGTGGGGGGAGGTGGAAGGGAAGGAATAAAGGAGGTAGAGCTGCCACAATGCACCGGGATGAACCATATTGGACCGCATTGTACCTGGCTGCCTGGAGCTGCCTGATCCAGATCTGCTGTGCTGCTTCCATCTTGCATGCCAGCTTTAGTGCCGCCCTTTGATTGCTCAAATCGACTGAGCCGAGCACTTTATCCTCGTTATAAGGCGTCGAGAGCAGCAGACTGTACACCCTGTCGCCCAGTATTGTCTTCAAACTCTGTGCGGAAAGAGGGGAGGGGGAGAGGAGAGAAGAGGGGAAATGGGGAGGCGAGGGGGAGACAAGAGAAGGGAAATGGGGAGGCGAGGGGGAGACAAGAGGAGAGGGGAAATGGGGAGGCGAGGGGGGGGGGGGGGGGGGGGAGAGAGAGGAGAGGGGAAATCGGGAGGGGAGGGGAAAGGTTGAAGAGAGATGGGCATGGTACACCTGCTCTCTGACCATTTCCATGCCTCTTCCTTCCTCCTCCTCCATGCGCACCGAGGTGACTTTTGAGTCGACTCGAGAGATGGGCATGGTACACACACCTGCTCTCTGACCATTTCCATGCCTCTTCCTTCCTTTTGAGTCGACTCGAAAGGTTGAAGAGCGATGGGCATGGACCATGGTACACCTGCTCTCTGACCATTTCCATGCCTCGTCCTTCCTCCTCGATGCGCACTCCCCCCCCACACCAATCTTAGGAGTCGTTATAGGAACGCGTCAGGAACGTGCATGTCCTGAAGAATTTGCTGGTTGATGATGCATGCATGCCTTCATCCCCATTTCTCTCCCCTTGGGGAGTGGTCTGGACCGTCCATGTCCTGAAGCATGCAAGAATTTGCTGGTTGATGATGCATGCTATCATCATCTCACTCGTCTTCTCCGCACCGCACCCTGCACCGCACCCACCTTGGGGAGTGGTCAGGCACGTCCATGTCCTGAAGGACTTGTTGGTTGATGCACATGCACGCCCTCATGATCTGACTTGTGCCCACACCATCGCCATCTCTCGCATACACACCTTGGGAAGAAGGCGTCTGGAACGTCCATGTCCTGAAGAATTTGCTGGTTGATGCACGCCTTCATGATCTGTCTCTGCTCTCAACAGCACCATCTCTCTCACACACACACACACACCTTGGGTAGACGCTGTAGGAAGGCGTCCGGAACGTCCATGTCCTGCAGAATCTGCTGATTGATGAACATGCACGCCTTCATGACCTCACTCGCTTCTTCCCCCCTTACACCCACCACACACACACCTTGGGGAGGCGTTATAGGAACGCGTCTGGAACGTCCATGCCCTGAAGCATCTGTTGATTGATGAACATCCACGCCTTCATGATCTGTCTTGTGCTCTCACCACCACCATGTCTCCCTCTCTCTTCCCAACACACATACCTTGGGGAGACGTTGCAGAAACGCGTCTGGAACGTCCATATCCTGAAGCGTCTGTTGATTGCACGCCCTCATCATCTGACTCGTTTTGTCTGACTGCTGCTCCCACCTGCCCACGCCCGCCCCACACACCTGCCCTCCCCACCTACGCACATACCTTGGGTAATCGTTGTAGGAAGGCGTCTGGAACGTCCATATCCTGAAGCATCTGTTGATTGATGAACATACACGCCTTCATTATCTGACTCGTCTTCTCCGCCTGCTGCTCCAGCCACCTCCTCAGATCCTCTGACAGACCCACTCTCATCCGCGGCTTCACTTTCCACCTCCACGGCACTCCCCCTCCTCCTCCTCCTCCTCCTCCTCCTCCTCCTCCTCCTCCTCCTCCTCCTCCTCCTCCTCCTCCTCCTCCTCCTCCTCCTCCTCCTCCTCCTCCTCCTCCTCCTCCTGTTCCTCCTGCTCCTGCTCCTGCCCCTGCCATTGCCCCATCCGTTCCTGCAGCACTGGAATCCCCCGCACCACCACCCACACCACCCACACCACCACCCACACCACCACCACTGCCGCCGCCGCCACTGCTGCAGATGCAATCACTATCCGCTTTCCCTGCGGCCTCCTTCGACCTGCCCCTCACAAACGACCCCAGGTCGTAGCTGCGGCTGCCCATTCTCCCCGTCGTTCTCCTCCTAGCCAGCTCCTTCACACCCCCACTGCCACCACCAGCAGCACCAGCAGCATTGCTGTTATTATTACTACTGTTGTTATTGTTTCCGGAAGTGGCTGTAACGGAGGTGACTGTAGAGGAGGAGGTGTATGAGCGGGCGAAGCCCCATGATGAGCTTATAGAGGGGCTAGATCCACCAGAGTTCATCCCTTCGCCTCCTCCCTCCTGCTGCTGCGTCTGCCGATCTCCCCCCTTCTTCTGCTCCCTCTCCTGTCCCCCCTCCTTCTCCCCCTTCTCCTCCTGCTGTTCCGATCCTGATCCCGACCCTGATCCCGATCCTGATACTGACACTGATCTTGGACCTGATGCCGACCCTGATGCCGAACCTGATCCCGAACCTGATTTCGAACCTGATCCGGACCTCGGTAGCGGGCAAGGCCCGGGAGAAACGGAGGCACCAGAATGAGCAGCAGCAGGATTACCTGGGGAGTCACGGCTGGGTGACTTTTGAGTCGACTCAAAAGCAGCAGGAGGAATGCCTGGGGAGTCGCGGCTTGGACCGGTGTCCTTGCCACTGCTCACACCCGCACCAGCAGCAGCAGCACCACCACCATCAGCACCAGCAGCAGCAGCAGCACCAGACGCAGCAGCAGCAGCAGCAGCAGCAGCAGCAGCAGCAACAGCGTCAGTGGTAGCAGCAAGGGCAGGATCAGGAGCAGAAGCAGTGGGAGCAGCAGCAGCAGCAGCAGCAGCAGCAGCAGCAACCGGAGCAGTAGCTGTAGCAGCAGGAGCAGCAACAGCAGCAGGAACCAAATTGGCAGTGGCAGCAGCAGCAGCAGCAGCAGCAGCAGGATGGGCATTGCCAACAGAAGCAGAGGTAGGCAGCCTGGCCCCTCGCCCCCTTACTCCCGCTCTCCCACCCACCCCACCCACCCCACCCACCACACCCCCACTCACATCCTCTCTACACCTCAGCCTAGCAGCATACTCCTTATCCACCTCTGCAAAGTCGCCACTCTCGCGCCTCTCAGAGGGTGCAGAGATGCTCCTTCGAAACTGCTGCTCCAGCCTTTCGGTATCTAAAACGTGCTGCTCCTCCTGCTGCTGCTGATCTTGCTGCTTTTCCTCCTGCTCCTCCTGCTGCTCATCCTGCTTCTCCTGCTCCCCCCTTTGCTCCTGCTCCTGCCTCTCCTGCTGCTCCTGTGTCTGCTGATTCGCTGAGTCAAGATAGTCCTCCTCTCTTTGCTCCTCGCTGTTGCTGCTCGCACTACCACCACGCAACCCACTCAACCCACTCCCACCGCTCACCCCACTATCTCCCCTACTGCTTCTCCCACCTTCCTTTTGGGAAAGAAACTCTCCGGTTTCAACCCCCTTTGTGATTCCACTCCCTCCCCCTCCAGCTGCTGATCCCTTTTCCGACCCTATCCCTCCGTCTTCCGACCCTATTCCTCCCCTTTCCGAACCTACACCTCCCTCTTCCGACCTTATCCCTCCCTCTTCCGAACCTACTGCCACGTCAGCATTCAGATCGAAGTCCCGATCCACAATGTCCCCATCCACGTCATCATCAACAACATCCACGTCATCCTCCTCCTCCTCTTCCTCCTCCTCCTCTTCATCTTCTTCTCTCGGCTCCTGCCCTCCAACCACCTCATCCTCATAGTAATACTCATTTGACGTGCTCTGATCTAGTATGCTCTGGTGAGAGGCGAGGGTAAGAAGGGGAGGGAGAGAGGCAGGGGGGAAAAGGAGGAAAGATGTTGGGAGGATTAACTCTGCTCTAGTATGCACTGGTGGAGAGGGGAGGGGAGTTTAGGGTGAAATCGGGTGAGAGGGAGAGGGGCGGTTGATTCAACTTTTGAGGCGCCTCAAAAGTCGAGGGGAGGAAGTTTAGGGTGGAATCGGGTGAGAGGGAGAGGGACGGTTGATTCGACTCCCAAACCTGCATACGCCCCTCGTATCCACACACGCCCTGCCCACACACGCCCTGCCCACATACGCCCTGCCATGCCCACGCACCTGCAGCAGGTGGTTCAGCTTGTTGAGTGCTGGGAGGTTGATTCGACTCAAAAGTACCCCACACACAGATCCCCTCAACCACACGCCCTGCCCGCATACGCCCTGCCCACACACGCCCTGCCCGCATACGCCCTGCCCACATACACCCCGCCCTGTCCCACGCACCTGCAGCAGATGGTCTAGCTTGATTCGCCGGTCTTCCTTTACTGTCTCTGAGTCTGAGTCCACACCTCTCACACACACGTGCCCCCTCCGCACACACCTTCCCTGCCCACACACCTTCCCTGTCCCACGCACCTGCAGCAGATGGTCTAGCTTGGTGAGTGCTGGGAGGTTGATTCGCAGGTCCTCCCTCACTCTCCGCTTCATCACCTGTGAGTCAGGGCAGGGGAGGGCAGGGAAAAGGGGGGGGGGGAGAGGAGGGGAGAGATAAATGAGCATTTAAGGTTGATTCGCAGGTCCTCCCTCACTCTCCGCTTCATCACCTGCCATTTCAGAGGCAGGGGGTGATAAGAGGAGGGGATCAGAGGCGGAGAGGAGGAGGGGAGAAGGGGGTGGGGGTTGGGTGAAGTTGAAGAAATGAGAGCATTTGTGGTTGCTTCAACGGAACTCCCTCACACTCTGCTTCATGACCTGATTCACATCACCCTCCTATGATGACCCCCTTCCCCTTGCCACCATCCTCCAGTCCCCCTGCCCTCCACCCTCGTCTCACCTCGAATCTGGTACCATCAGGGCGCGTCTGCCATCCACGAGCCAGTTCCACGATGTGTCGACACACCGAAACCATGATGCCCATTTCCCGCCTCCCACTGCCACAAACCCTCACTCAGTGCCTTACTGCCCTTACCACCACCACCTTTGTGAGCTTTTCTAAAATTTTGCTTTCCGTGGCCTAGCCACCACCCTCCACTCTCTCCTCACCTCGAATCTGGTCCCATCTGGCCGCGTCTGCCAGCCTGGCGCCAGCTCCACGATGTGACGACACACCGACACCATGATGCCCATCTCCCGCCGCCACTTGTTCTTGTCCTCCTCCCTCAATGGCCGCAACCGCAAGCTGTCTCCAAACACGGACGCTGTGAAAGATCAAAGCGAGGGGAGAGAAGACAGAGAAACCAGGACACTTATTTTTAAGGAGCGACAAAGAGAGAAACAAGGGGGGGTTAAAAAAAATGGCCACGAGAAACCAGAGAACCCACCTGACGCACCTGAGACGCTGGTAACGGCATTGGCCATGGCGAGACTGAGACTGGGACTGGCAATCCCACCTGAGAAACCACCTGATTTACCTGAGACGCATGGCGTTGGCCATGGGGCTCGCAGCCCTTAGCACCTTCAATCTGCCTCAGATTGTGTAAACCACCTGAGAAACCACCTGACGTACCTGAGACGCTGGTGATTGCGTTGGCCATGGCGAGGGCGGGCCCGCAGCCCTTGGCGCCTCCGGAGGGGTCGTCCCCCAGCAGTAGCTTTGAGAGGCGCTCCCTCATCAGCTCCAAGTCTGGTTGGGATAGGTGTGAATGGGTGTGAAGGGGTGTGAAGGGGTGTGCGCGGATGGCAGGCCCGCAGCCCTTGCCGCCTTCCGAGGGGTCGTCCCCCAGCAGTAGCTTCGAGAGGCGCTCCCTCATTAGCTCCAAGTCTGGTTGCGAGGGGGCGTGAATGGGTATGAAGGGGTGTGAATGGGTGTGAAGCGTTGTGAATGGGTGTGAGAACGGTCGCCCCCCAGCAGCAGCTTTGACAGACGCTCCCTCATCAGCTCCAAGTCTGATTGTAAACGGGTGTGAAGTACAAGGAAAGGGGGAGCGGGGTGGTGTAAGGAAGAAAGGGAGGGCGGGCCCGCAGCCCTTGGCGCCTCCCGAGGGGTCGTCCCCCAGCAGCAGCTTCGAGAGGCGCTCCCTCATTAGCTCCAAGTCTGGGACAGGATGGGTTGGGAGGGGGGAGGAGGAACGGCGGTCGGTGAGGGGGAGCAGAGAGGGTGGTGGGGAGGGTAGATTGAAGATGGGGAGGGGACGATGTCTCTTAGGCAGTTGCGGGGGAAACCCTAAGTTGGTAGGAGATGAGAATGCGAAGACGAGAAAGGACGAAATTTGGTCAGGAGTAATCGCCTAATGCGATGGCAGGGGAAACCCTAAGTTGGCGGGAGTCGGGAATGAGAGGAGCGGGAGGGCGGGAGAGGTTGCGGACAGATGTAAGGAGCTCATGACGGATACGACTAGATTGACGGAAACGGAAACTGACGGAGACAACGAATCTGACGAAGCCCTCCAAACTGGCGGTGACAACGCACACGACAAGCCTCATTTGCCATCATAGGCAGCTTCCTAACACTTAAAAATACGTATTCCGACAAGAGTGTATTGAACAGCGCGTAATCTGCTGTTTCTCGAGCGTTTCGCTTTGCAAGGCCAAATTGCGGACGCATACGCGCTTCTGAGATTTCTGCGCACTGGACCATCCCTCCGACCGGCGTTGGAGAGAAGTGTTGACTTACCGTGGAGGGCCTTTGAGAATATCCTGGCATTGACGATCCTTTGGGTAATTCAGTGACGGTCTCAGGAAGGACGTTCTATCTTGACGGACCTTAACGGACCTCCGAGTCTTACTGTGGTGGTCAGTGGGAAATTATCGCAAATGGCGAGGAAATAGAGGGTTCTCGTCGTGTCCTCACCGTTTGAGTCGACTCAAGAGCTGAACCTTGACGGACCTCGACGGACATTGACGAACCTTGACGGATCTTGACGGACCTTGACGGACCTTGACGAACTTTTTCCCGTCTTACCGTGCCGGTCCTTGGGGATATAATCGTCGACGGCGAGATCGGGATCATCGTAGAACAGCGGGTTCTCGTCGCCCTCGTTCACCGACGTCAATGCTGATCCGGCCGCCGCCATTGGTCGGCGAAAACCTTCGCGAGCAGTAACGAGATGTCGGGCGGTAACTATCTAAATAGGGGAACCATCTGAAAGCGGTGTATATCGACGAGGTCGTCTTCTGATGCTCGTCAGTAACTTAACCTAATACGGGTGTTGAATAATACGACCTTTCAGGGACTGGACGTGAAATCAACTCGTTTGAAAAAGGTAGTTTCTTCTAGGAGATATTTCTGGTGACGATAATAGGGAGCTGTGACAGCCGTCCATCGAAACTTCCAGGCAATGCCTGGGAGGATGAAGCGAGGGTCCTGAAAGAGTCCACCTTCGCGACAACGGCGAAACTACAGCTAACTACAGTGGCGAATTGATTGCGAGAGAGTTACCATGGCAGCACGACTAAGATCATTGGTGCACGCACGCATCAAATACTGAGAGCTGACAATGACGTACTAGATAGTAGCTACTGCGACGATTTATTCTCCCGACACGTTCTACTAGCCCACAAGCAATCCATCTGAGCTGCAAAGGTACTGTCGGGCTGGTAAAAATCGAGGCTCGAGGTGCTGCTGGCGTGACGCGATTCGGTTTTCAAGCTATGGATGGTTGGTAGGTCGGTGGGAGCACGGGGAAACGGGAAGAAGCAAGGCAGCAGCAGGAGTCAAGGATGCGAAGGGTGCAGCAGCTGCAGCAGGTGTTTGTTGTGATACAGGAAGCTATTGACTAGGCGAAAAACAAACGAGAGAATGTAAAAGAAACGGGGGACGGCACTGGCAGAGCCTAGACTTGAAGCCTTGTCTCTTTCCTTATCTCCATTCTGTATATCCCATCCGCGATTGGCAGTTGGAAGCCATAGCCTCGGTTCTGTCTGGCTCCAGTCAGACCTAGACGACGATTGCCTTGGGAGTTGGTGGTGAGTTTCGCGATGGAGGTTCGTGAACGTTCGCAAAAGTTCCGCACACGATTGTTCAGTCTCTGCTCTTCGCAACACCGCTTCTCCGCAACCTCGACGGGCACCCAAACCAGCCTGACAGAAGCTCGGTGGCGAGAGAGCGCATTCGATCGACGACATTCGTCAGGGTTACTCTATTTTGCGAGGAGTGCTTCGTCAGGCAAAGTCGCTACAGTACAGCACCATCTGCACTCGTAACTCGTCTACTTTCCTCCACCCTGACTGTCGTCATTGTCGACGTACGGTAACCTTGTGTGGGGCGAGCATCACTTTGACCCTTGTCGACAAGGTGAACGACATTTAGCGAACTCGGAGATAGGGCGAAACGCGTGAAATGTAACTGGTTGCGCGTACGACAAAAGCGCTCAGGGTTTCCAGCTGGCAATTCCGTCAGTAGTGGTGGTGACGAGGGGAGCCCAACTGTTTTGACGAGCAGTTGACTTTCTTGGCGCCCAGCGGAGGCTTGCCCAAGTGGGCTGCCCAAGTGGGCTGCCGGTCAGGACTCAGGTGGGGGGAAGGTTCGACTCGCAAGTCTGTCTGCTTGTCCAGTACACTTCAGAGTTCGAATATTCAAAGTGTTTTTATAGCAACAGAAGCATGAGATATTTTACAATGTAAATAAACACTCATAGGAATTTCATGCTTCAACCCCAGACCATTATGCAGTGCATGAGGCAATTGAAATGACAGGTAGCATGCACACAGCTGTACTTATATGAAAAGGAAATTAAGCAACAATGGAGTTGAAGGCATCGCGCATTTCCCTTGAAGACGGGCTGATAGCTTCATTTGCATAGCACTTTGCCACCACAGCCTCCAATTCTTCGTATCGCTCCATGAAGCTCTCCTGATCACAAAGACATCCATACACGAGAAATAAGGCAGGAGTTGAGAAACGCGATGGTAAAATTGATAATTTGAGGCAGAAATGCTAAACAAGTCGGAAGTGTATCAAATCAACTCAGTAGTGATTCGAGTATGTGAAATTCGGAAGCACCACCCTCCTTTAATGACGCAAACGTACGCTCGGAATGGAACCTTTACCGAGTGAGGGTGCTCACCTGACATTTGAGGCTGAGCGAGGGACGCGGATGCCCATTTGTGAGCCAACCCAACAAACGTACACTTGGAAGTGTCTACTCAGTCAGTGTCACCTACTTTACTCACCTGGCTTTTCTGAGTTGACTGAAAAAGAAGATGCCCAGTTGCGAGCCGCCTCAACAAACGCACTTGGAGAAACATAATCAGTGAGTGGGAACTCTACTTACCTGGCATTTGAGCCAGAGCGAGGGAAGCAGGTCACCCGACGTGAGATTCTTCCGCATCTTGTTGAACATGGAGTTGAGTGAACGATCCACCTGCACCCATTCACACGGGAAAATGTTCAGTTTTTCAGATGGCTCAAAACACTGTTGTGGAATTGGTTCACCAAAACGCCTCAGGACTTTTCCGCTTTTCTGTTAAACATGGGGTAGAGTTAAAGCAGCAAAAGCTTACCTTACCGTTCCACACACTCCCAGCTTACCCCAGTGAGTTGCGATTTGAGCACTTTGCGCAGGTCGGCTTTGCTGAAGCCAATCTGGAACGGAATCTGAAGCACACAACAGGGCACCGGGACAATGAAACACAAAAGGGCACCGGGACAATGAGATTTAAAACACCTCAGCAGCTTATTTGAAAGGGGAACTGAAGCACACGAAAGGACACAGGAACTGTGAGAAATTTGTGTGGTTTACAAGTGGTGCTGGTATGTGAATCGACTAAAACAATCACCCGAGTTAAAGAGGACTCTAAAGCCCAAACGGGAGATGGCCCTTGGGGACATGGAGCGGAGCCGTACGCAACACACACAAACAAGGGCGAGGTGGAGATGACACCGAAGAGATGAAACCAGAGGCACAAGGTTCAGAGATGACACCGCGGGCATGATGAGAGGTTGTGGTAAGGCTACCATACCTCCTCTGTTTCAATGGTCAGCAGCAGGTTCTTGATCTTCTGAAGATACTCAAACAACTTGTCGAAATTCTGCAAGGGAAGAAATAGCAAGGATGGGTTGGGTTGGGGGACGGGACAGTGCGGGGAGGGAGGGATCAACATAATCGGAATGGTCAGCAGCAGATTCTTGATCTTCTGAAGATACTCAAACAGCTTGTCGAAATTCTGCAATCGTAGAATAGTAGCGTTGGGAAGAAGGGATGGCGCAATATGGTGCAATGGGGGAGAAAACAGATTGCAATTAATTATCAGAAGCTGGTTGTCATCTTCTGAAGCAGGATTGTTATGTTCCCTTTGTAAGTCCTTTCTCACATCCTGCACATGCAGAAGCACAATGTAGAGGCACAATGCAGAGGCACAATGCAGAGGCACATCCAGAGGTTCATCTGGGTAAAGAAAACTCACCTCGAAGATGACTGAGTCGATTTAGCAAGTGCAGGACCAGGACGTCTCATGCGTCTCACTGGACTGGCAGCAGGGGCCCTCCCCTCCTAGCCGTCGTCCCCCTTCTTGGGAGCTCTTTTTGCACAACAGCACACAAGCGGGAAGGAAAGCTCACCCCGAAGATGACTGAGTCGATGTAGCGAGTGCAGGCCGTCTCGTACGTCTCACTGGACTGTTGATAGGGCCCCTCCCCTCCCCGTCACACTCGTGCTTCTTGCGGTCCCTTACAGCATAGACAACCGCATTTGATAGAAAGAGCACTCACCCCGAAGATGACTGAGTCGATGTAGCGCGTGCACGCCGTCTCGTATGTCTCACTGGACTGCTGGTAGAAGAGGCGCAGCGTGGGGATGGTGCCTGCCAGATCATACGTGCTGGAGGGGGGGAATTGGGAGGATTGGGGAAATTGAGCGAGGGGTGCACGAAGGAGGGAGAGACAGCGAGATGAGGGAGTGCCATACGAGTAGGCAGCCATGCCATATTGTACGTCTCTCACTGGACTGCCGGTAGAAGAGGCGGAGAGTGGGGATGGTGTCTGCAAGGTCGTACGTGCTGCAGGGGGAGGAGTGGGAAACCAAAAGGGCGAGATGAGGGAGTGCCATCCGAGTAGGCAGTCATGCCATCTTGTACGTCTCTCACTGGACTGCCGGTGGGGATGGTACCTGCCCGCCAGGTCGTACGTGCTGTGGGGGGGATTGGGGGGTAAGGGTAAGAACCAAGACGAGAGAGACCGCGAGAGGAGGGAGTGCCATCCGAGTAGGCATTCATGCCGTCTTGTACGTCTCACTGGACTGCTGGTAGAAGAGGCGGAGAGTAGGGATGGTGCCTGCCAGGTCGTACGTGCTGCGGAGGAAATATGGGGAATTGGGGGAGGGGTGTACAGAAGAGAGAGAAAGCGAGATGAGGGAGTGGCATCCGAGCAGGCAGTGATGCTGTCTCGTACGTCTCACTGGACTGCCAGTAGAAGAGGCGCAGCGTGGGGATGGTGCCTGCCAGGTCGTACGTGCTGTTTGGGGAAGAAATTGGGGGAATGGCAGATGAGGGAGATGAGGCAGCGAGATGAGGGAGTGGCATCTGTGCGGGCAATTATGCCGTCTCGCACGTCTCACTGGCTGGTGGAGAGGGAGCAGCGGCTATGCCGTCTCGTACGTCTCTCACTGGACTGCTGGTAGAAGAGGTGGAGTGTGGGGATGGTGTGTCTGCTCGCCAGGTCGTACGTGCTGTTGAGGGTGGGGAAAAAGGTGCTGAGGAGGATGAATGAGCCCGGTACACAATTGTAGGCGGCTCAAGAAAGGGATGGATGAAGGGCTTGGTCGCAGTTACACCAGACGGTGGTGGTGGTGGTGGTGGTGGTGGTGGTGGTGGTGGTGGTGGTGGTGGTGGTGGTGGTGGTGGTGGTGGTGGTGGTGGTGGTGGTGGTGGTGGTGGTGGTGGTGGTGGTGGTGGTGGTGGTGGTGGTGGTGGTGGTGGTGGTGGTGGTGGTGGTGGTGGCGATACCTGTTCTGGAAGGCCGCGTGATTCTCCAGCAGCAGCACGTCGCAGTGCTTGGGGTCGATCTGAGCAATGCGGTCCAGGGTAGAGAACATGGTGCTCACCTGATGGGGGGGGTACGGAACGATTGGGGTGTGGGGAACAAGGAGGGGACAATATAGTAGGAGGGGTAGAGAGGGGGTACGGGGTGGAAAGAGTGATGTTCGAGACGAGACACTAAGCAGCACGTCGCAGGGAGAAGGGGGAATGAGGGGGAAGGGGGGACGGGGTGGGGGGGAAGGAGGAAGGTAATCGGGGGAGTGTAGGCAGAGAGGGGAATATGGGGTGGAAAGAGCATGTCGCAGTGCTTGGGGTCGATCTGAGGCCATACGGTCCAGCGTAGAGAACACTCACCAGCTTGTTGTAAGCCTGGTCCACCAGGTCTCTGCAGTTGTTGGTAACCAAGGTGACACTTGTCAACCCCATGGCCCATACCTAGTCAGTCCCCATCCTGGCCTATACCCGCCACGCCTCTCTCTCACCAGCTTGTTATAAGCCTGGTCCACCAGGTCTCTGCACGTGCCCATGACCAGCCCCTCCATTCGCACCGCCAGCGCTGCAAAGCGAGGCACATAGGACAGCACGCCCGCCTGCTTCACGCCCCTGTCGTACCGCTCAATCTGCCCGTTCGCCTCCTCCACATACTGTGGGGGTTGGATGGCGGTGGGGAGGTGGGAAAGAGGGCTGGTGGGTCAACAAGGGAATGGAGGCACGTAGGACAGCACTCCCGCCTGCTTCACACCCCTGTTGTACCGCTCGATTTGACCATTAGCCTCCTCCACATACTGGACAGGGACGGGGTGGTTGAAAAGGGAAACAAAGGGGAGGAGAGAGGCGAGTGAGGCACGTAAGACAGCACTGACTCACACTACCCAAAACCTGAATCCGCACCTCCAAGCATCCTTCATTCTGCACACTTACTCGGAAGAAATTCTGCCTGATTCTGGTCTCCAGCTCGAGCAGAAGCTTCCTGGTAATAACCGCACCGCACCCCCCTGCGTCGGCCCCGTGCTGCAACTGCAGCTGCTGCTGCTGCTGCTGCCACGCCTCCGTGTGCCCCACGAGAGTGATGCAGCGCAGCGGGTCCACCTTGAACACCCACTCCACCCCCAAACACCCCTCATTCCGTCCACTTACCCGGAAGAAATTCTGCCTGATTCTGGTCTCCAGCTCGAGCAGAAGCTTCCTGGTAATGACGGCTCCACACCCCCCTGCGTCGGCCCCGTGCTGCAGCTGCAGCTGCTGCTGCTGCTGCTGCCACGCCTCCGTGTGCCCCACGAGAGTGATGCAGCGCAGCGGGTCCACCTTGAATACCCACTCCACCCCCAAACACCCCTCATTCCGTCCACTTACCCGGAAGAAATTCTGCCTGATTCTGGTCTCCAGCTCGAGCAGAAGCTTCCTGGTAATGACGGCTCCACACCCCCCTGCGTCGGCCCCGTGCTGCAGCTGCAGCTGCTGCTGCTGCTGCTGCCACGCCTCCGTGTGCCCCACGAGAGTGATGCAGCGCAGCGGGTCCACCTTGAATACCCACTCCACCATGGCCACAAAGTCCTCATGAATGCCCTCGAATAGCTGCTCCGCTGCTGCCGCTAGCGCTGCCGCATCCTCGTCCGCTGTGAAAGGGGGAGGGGGCAGGGCAGGGAGTTTGTGGGTGAGTGAGTGCATGTGATGCAGCTCAGCGGGTCCACCTTGAACACCCACTCCACCATGGCAACAAAGTCCTCATGAATGCCCTCGAATAGCTGCTCCGCTGCTGCCGCTAGAGCTGCTGCATCCTCGTCCGCTGTGGGAAGGGGAACGGGAAGGGCGGACGAGAGTGATGCAGCGCAGCAGCGGGTCCACCTTGAACACCCACTCCACCATGGCCACAAAATCCTCGTGAATTCCTTCAAATAGCTGCTCCGCTGCTGCTGCCAGCGCTGCTGCATCCTCGTCGGCTGAAGAGGGTGATTATAATGAGGGGAAAAGGATCAGTGGGAGGGGAGGGACGGGGGGTGGGAGGGGGGGAAGGTGAGGAGAGGGTGATGCAGTGCAGCGGGTCCACCTTGAACACCCACTCCACCATGGCCACAAAGTCCTCGTGAATGCCCTCGAATAACTGCTCTGCTGCTGCTGCTAGTGCTGCTGCATCTTCGTCCGCTGTAGGGGATTGTAATGACGAGAAGAGGGAGGGGGAAGGGGAGGACGGGGAGGATGGGGAGTGGGGAGGAGGGGCAGTGGGGGGAAGGGGAAGAGTAGGAAGAGGGGGCGGAGCAGGGGTTTTGTGGGACAGTGAGTGCACATGGTTCGTTCTAAGCAAGTGTTCACAGGCACAGGCAGGCATGTACACGCACGCATATGCAAGCACCCTGATTTGACTTTTGAGGCGCCTCAAAAGGAAGAGAGCAGGGGTTTTGTGAGACGGTGGGTGCACATGGTTCGTTCTAAGCAAGTGTTTCACAGGCACAGGCAGGCATGTACACGCATACGCAAGCACCTGGATTTGTTCGAGAAGAAGTGCATGCATATGAAAGACACAGGTAAAACACACACTCACACAAGGGCTCTTCGTCCTCATCTGCTGCTGGGGAGAAGCAGAGGAACTGCTGGAAAAAGAGACCCTGTAGCGGGGAGAGAACACGCGGAGGAGAGGGGGGGAAAGGGACGGGGGACGGAGGGAGAGAGATGTCAAGTTCTGCTGGGGAGGAGCTAGGGAGAAGCAGAGGAACTGCTGGAAGGAGAGACCCTGTAGCGGAGGGAGAGAACAGAGGGGAGGGAGGGAAACGGAGCGGGAGGGTGGGTAATGGAGGGAGAGAGAAATGCAGGGGTCTGTTGGTGACAAGCAAAGTAATTTCTGGAAGAAGAGACAAGGGCACAAGGGGAAGAAACGCGCGGAGCATCTTGGCAGAGGCATTGCAGGCAGGCAGCTTGGGAGTCAGCAGCAGGCGGAAGCAGATTACGAGACCCGGAAACACCCCTGAAAAAAACTCACGTCTTAAAAAATAAGCGGCAGGAACGCGCGGAGCATCTTGGCAAAGGCGTCACTGGCAGCCTGGGAGTCAGCAGCAGGCGGCGGCAGAAATGCACAAGACTCACCAACACCCCCAACAAACTCACCTCCTCAGAAATCAAGGGCAGGAACGCGCGGAGCATCTTGGCAAAGGCGTCGCTGGTGGCCTGGGAGTCAGCAGAGGGCAGCAGTGCCGCACTGCCCTGCTCGTCACAGTCACACTCTCCACACTCACAATAATTCCTTCACTCAACTCAATACAGGCACGCAGCCAACGCACCTCTTCGGAGATAAGCGGCAGGAACGCGCGGAGCATCTTGGCGAATGCATCGCTGGCGGCCTGGGAGTCAGCAGCAGGCGGCAGGGTAGCACTGCCTTGCTCGAGGAAAGGTGGGGCTGTGCTGGTCTTGGCAGAGACACGCGCTGATGCACGGAGATCTGTTGAGAACTCACGAGCCTGAGAGGCGGGAAGGGAAGGGTTTAGAGTAAGAGAGAACAGTTAGCATGCTGCGGAAGGCAGGGCAGCAGTGCCCTGCTCCAAGAAAGGTGGGGCCGTGCTGGTCTTGGCTGACACTCGCGCTGATGCACGGAGATCCGTTGAGAACTCACGAGCCTGAGAGGTGGAGAGGGAGGGGAAAAAAGGAGAAAGTTTGCACTGCGGAAGCCAGAGCAGCACTGCCTTGCTCGAGGAAAGGCGGGGCTGTGCTGGTCTTGGCTGAGACACGGGCTGATGCACGGAGATCCGTTGAGAACTCGCGAGCCTGGAGGGAGCGGGTGGATTGACAGGGAACGAAAGAGTGGCGACGGAGGACGGGGAGGTAAACAAGCAGGTGAACAAGTGCCTGCCTGCTCCAGGAAGGGAGGGCTGTGCTGGTCTTGGCTGATACTCGGGCCAATGCACGGAGATCAGTGGAAAACTCACGAGCCTGAGGGATGGGAAGGGAGGGGAGTGATTGGGCAGGGCAGATAGAGAGGGAGGAAAATAAGGGAACAGTTAGCACAAGGAAAGGAGGGGCCGTGCTGGTCTTGGCTGAAACTCTGGCTGATGCACGGAGATCCGTAGAGAACGCACGAGCCTGAGGGATGGGAAGGGAGGGGAGTGATTGGGCAGTTGGCAGATAGAGAGGGAGGAAAATAAAGGAACAGTTAGCACGCGCCAAAACCGCGGGCCAAATTGCCGTGCTCCAGGAAGGGAGGGGCCGTGCTGGTCTTGGCTGATACTCGGGCTGATGCACGGAGATCTGTGGAGAACCCACAAGCCTGCGGGGCGCGGGTGGGTTGACAGGGAAACGAGGAGCGGCGAGGGTTAATGGGAAGAGGAGAGTGATTGACAGGAAAAAGTTCCTGCTCAGCATAACACCAGCAGCATGGCAGAGATCGAATCAACATCTTAAGGTCACAAGTGCCCTAAACAACGCCCACGAGCCACTGGCATCACCATCCCATCAACATCGAACATGCCACCAGCGTCTCACCTCGCGCCTGAGCAGCATGTTGAGAGAGTGGATGTATGTGCGGCGAATGTTGTCCAACACGTTGGGATCCAGCTCCTGGGGCAGAAAGGTGCAGGAAGAGGAAGTAGGGGGAGGGGAGGGGAGGGGAGGGGAGGGGAGGGGAGGGGAGGGGAGGGGAGGGGAGGGGAGGGGAGGGGAGGGGAGGGGAGGGGAGGGGAGGGGAGGGGAGGGGAGGGGAGGGGAGGGGAGGGGAGGGGAGGGGAGGGGAGGGGAGGGGAGGGGAGGGGAGGGAGGGGAGGGGAGGGAGGGGAGGGGAGGGGAGGGGAGGAGGGAGGGGAGGGGAGGGGAGGGGAGGGGAGGGGAGGGGAGGGGAGGGGAGGGGAGGGAGGGAGGGGAGGGGAGGGAGGGGAGGGGAGGGGAGGGGAGGGGAGGGGAGGGGAGGGGAGGGGAGGGGAGGGGAGGGGAGGGGAGGGGAGGGGAGGGGAGGGGAGTGGAGGGGAGGGGAGGGGAGGGGAGGGGAGGGGAGGGGAGGGGAGGGGAGGGAACATTTCAGCACGTTGGGGGGTCCAGCTCCTGGGGAGGGGGAAGTAGGGGGAGGGGGGGAGGAAGAGGGTAGAGGGAGAGAAAAGGAGGGATGAAGGAGCAGGGAGGCGAGGGGTAAGTGGAAGGGGGGGTTCTGAAGCATATCAACACGTTGAGGTCTGGGGTAACCTACTGGGAGGGAAAGGAAGAAGGGAAGAGCCGGAGGAAGAGGAAGGAAGAGCCATGAAAGTTTCCTGTTTGAGACGTCACATTCAAACAAACAAAGTGGGGGGAGCGGAAGCAAGCATTCTTGAGGCGCCTCAAAAATAGCCATGGAAGTTTTGAGACGTCACATTCAAACAAACAATCAAGGTGGGGGAAGCAGAGCAGGCATTCGGAAGAAGGGGATATAGGGTGACGCCACGTCAACCCTAAACCCGGAAATATATGGTTGGGCTGGGCCGATGGTGCAGAGAGATTGTGGTGGGAGATTTCAGTCACCTTCCAGTCACTCCCTTTGTTCGAATCACCTGCCTTCGTTACAGTCACCTTCATTGCCCTCGTTTAAATCAAACCCCCTTGATTGGCCTCAATATAGTCATCCACGTTATAGTCACCTTCAAAATCACCTTGAGGCAGTGGATGAGCTGAGTGTAGGCAGACCATCTGCGGTGCAGCTCCCGATGGTCAGGAGGGCCCCTCTGAGACTTCTGGCAGGGGGAGGGACGGACAGGCAGGAATGGCCCAGTAACAGGATGATTCTTCCTTTTATAGTCACATCACATTTGAATGGATAGGATCAGGATGAGAGAAGGCACATGGAGAAATCGGAGGACAAAAGAAGTTATGTAAGGCGGGCATGGTGAAATGAAGGGCACAAAGGAGCTTTGCGGTGATTTCTGAGAGGTGCCTATAAAAAGGGCACAAAGGAAAGGAGCTTCCATCACTGAATGAAGGCACCAGGTCACGTCACATGGATGCATGCATGCATGCTGCCACAGTCACTCCACCACCGGAGTAAGTAACCCTTCAGGCTTCAGCCGTACCACAGCAGCCTCCACCCACTCCACAGTGGAGGAGAGGAAGGAGCGGACGAAATCGGTAGACGGCATGCATGCATGCATGCTGCAATCGCACGCTGAGCGCTTCTCAAGTTCTAATCCCCCGTGCCCCCAGCCGTACCGCAGCGGCCTCCACAGTGGAGGAGAGGAAGGAGCGGATGAAATCGGTGGCTCGCTGCACGAAGCCGTTCTTCAAGCTGTCCAGCTCTGCCTTCTTCTCGCGCACCTGCCAACATGAGAGGCAGGGAGAGGGTGGGGAGGAGCGTAAGGGTGGGGGCACGTGAAGAGACACTGACGTCGGTGGCCCGCCGCACGAAGCCGTTCTTCAAGCTGTCCAGCTCTGCCTTCTTCTCGCGCACCTGGAAAAGGGGCGGGGGGGAGGGGGGGGGGAAGGGGGGGGAGGGGGAGGGGTTGGGGTGGGAGTGGGAGGGGGGAGGGAAAAGAGGGAGGACATGCGAAGAGATACTAGTTTGGGTGGTCGCCGCACAAAGCCGTTCTTCAAACTGTCCAGCTCCGCCTTCTCTCCAACTCATCCCTCGTTGTCCATTATCATACCGCGCGCATGTTGACATAATTCTGGTCCAGCTGGGGGGGCTCCAGTTTCTTCACGGCGTCCACCAGCCACCCCACGGCCTCCAGCGTGTAAATGCACACATGCACTGCACACATGCACTGCACACATGTATTTATCTCTGCCCATTGACCTACCGCGCGCATGTTGACATAGTTCTGGTCCAGCTGAGGCGGTTCCAGTTTCTTCACGGCATCCACCAGCCACCCCCCATGGCTTCCAGCGTGTAAATGCACACATGCACTGCACACACGCATGTATCCCTGCATGTATCCCTGTCTATAACCCTACCGCGCGCATGTTGACGTAGTTCTGGTCCAGCTGAGGCGGCTCGAGCTTCTTCACTGCGTCCACCAGCCACCCCACGGCCTCCAGCGTGTTGGGCATGGCGGGCTCGTCGAGAGAGCCCGAGGAGAGCACCCGGATACGCTCCCTATGCACTCATGCACCCATGCACTGCACACATGTATCCCTCCATGCACACATGCACATACCGCGCGCATGTTGACATAGTTCTGGTCCAGCTGCGGCGGCTCCAGTTTCTTCACGGCATCCACCAGCCACCCCACAGCCTCCAGCGTGTTGGGCATGGCGGGCTCATCGAGGGAGCCCGAGGAGAGGACGCGGATGCACTGGGGGGGGATGTAGAGCGACTCTAGCAGCGTCTCCAGTTCTTCTAGAAGCTTCTTGTTGTTCTTCGCCTGCATCTCCAACATGTTGTTCTGCGCCTCGATCTGGGGGTTGGGGGGACGGGCAGGGGCGGGAGGAGGGGAGAAGGCAGGGGAGAAACGGTGCAGGGAGGAGGAAAGAGGGTGCAGGAGAGGGTTGTGAGTGAGGCGAGTCAGAAGAGAAGAGCATGGCGGGCTCGTCCAGGGAGCCCGAGGAGAGCACGCGGATGCACTGTGGCGGGATGTAGAGCGACTCTAGCAGCGTCTCCAGCTCCTCTAGCAGCTTCTTGTTGTTCTTCGCCTGCATTTCTAACATGTTGTTCTGCGCCTCGATCTGAACGAAGGGGGGAAAGGGGGGAGGGCGGGAGGAGGAGGAGGGGAGGAGGGGAGGAGGGCGGGGAGAAACGGTGCAGGGAGTAGGGAAGGGGGTGCGGAAGTGAGTTGTGAGGCCGGTCAGTAGAGAAGAGAGTGTTGGGCATGGCAGGCTCATCCAGAGAGCCCGAGGAGAGCACACGGATGCACTGCGGGGGGATGTAGAGCGACTCCAGAAGGGTCTCCAGTTCTTCTAGCAGCTTCTTGTTGTTCTTTGCTTGCATTTCCAGCATGTTGTTCTGCGCCTCGATCTGAACGAGGGGGGGGGAGGGGGAAGGGCGGGAGGAGGAGGAGGGGAGGAGGGCGGGGAGAAACGGTGCAGGGAGGAGGGAAGGGGGTGCGGAAGTGAGTTGTGAGGCGGGTCAGAGGGAAGAGAGTGTTGGGCATGGCGGGCTCGTCAAGGGAGCCCGAGGAGAGGACGCGGATGCACTGGGGGGGGATGTAGAGCGACTCTAGCAGCGTCTCGAGTTCTTCTAGCAGCTTCTTGTTGTTCTTTGCTTGCATTTCCAACATGATGTTCTGCGCCTCGATCTGGTGGGGAAGGGGGGTGAGGGAGGGAGGGAGAGGGGAGGGAGGAAGGAGGAGGGAGAGAAGGGGGAGAGAGACAGGGTTCGGGGGGGGCAGTATTCCACGTCCTCCACTCAGCCTCTCCAAGATTTCTTCTTTACTCACTAACTAGCCTTCTTTAAGGCCCTCGCCATCCACTCTCAATAAACCAAACACTCATGCACCACGCACCGATTCAATGTCATCGCGCATGTGCTTCAGCTTCACGTTGAACACGTTCAGCCAGTTCTCCATGTCCTCCACCCGCCCTGCCGCCTCGTCCAGGCTGTCAACCACCTGCCAGCCACGTCAGCACAACCATACAGTACCGAGGAAATGCATAAACTTCGAGCAAATGCAAACGCATATCCACCCCCCCCCCCCCCCCCCCCCCCCCTCCTCCCCCCCCGAAAAACAAAGACAAACAAACAAATAGAACGGTAAAACTTCCTCATCCTCCCTTTTGTCCCACTCACCTCCTCCACCAGTGCCTCGCTTTCCAGAATGGCATGCACGTTCGCGGCCTCTAATGCTCCCAGCTCCCTCTTCAGCCTCTCACTAAACGCCTCTGCCTCGTCAATGCCAATCACATAGCTGGGGAGGGGAAGGGGGGAGACGGAGAGGAGAGGGAGAGAGACAGAGGAAGAGAGCAGTGGGTGTAGCGAGCTGGATTCAGAGCTCCAGTGCATGCATCCGCCACTCCAGCGCCCCCACCTGCCTCTTCAGCCACTCGCTGAATGGCACTGCCTCGTCGATTCCAATCACGTAGCTGGGGAGGCAAGAAGAGGAGTGGAAGAGAAAGAGGAAAGTGGACCGTGAGTGTAGTGAGCTGGTGACAGGTGACTGGACTGGGCTCCAGTGCCTGCATTGGTCACTCCAGCGCTCCCAGCTCCCTCTTCAGCCTCTCACTGAACGCCTCTGCCTCGTCGATTCCAATCACGTAGCTGGGGAGGAGGGAAGGAGAGAAAAGGAGAGAGGGAGAGTAGAGGGAGTGGGTAGGCGGTGAGATTGGTGAGCTGGTTCCAGAGCTCAAGTGCTTGCAACGGTCACTCCAATGCCCCCAGCTCCCGCTTCAGCTTCTCACTGAATGCCTATGCCTCGTCAATCCCAATCACTGAATGCTGAGGCGAAGAGAAGGATGAGAAACGCAATGCTTTTGCATCCACTGTACACGAGTCATTGAATTAACAACATGGAAGGTACAGGAATGACGGTTCAGGCAACGCACTTTGCACTGACCGCATTCAACCTGGGACTCTTGCCGCAATGACCCTGGCTCTCACACCGCACTGAACTTGCTCTCACCGCACTGAACCAACTGTCACCGCACTGAACCGCACTCACGTGCCCAGGAGCGCCTCCATGTCCTCCTCCTCCACCTTGGACACCAGGCTGTCCTGCGCCATCATCGACTCACTCTCCACCCCCACCGCCCCCTCCCACCCTCTCTGAACCTACTTTCACCGCACTGAACCTGCTCTCACCGCACTGAACCTGCTCCCACCGCACTGAACCTGCTCCCACCGCACTGAACCTGCTCTCACCGCACTGAACCGCACTCACGTGCCCAGCAGCGCCTCCATGTCCTCCTCCTCCACCTTGGACACCAGGCTGTCCTGCGCCATCATCGACTCGCTCTCCACCCCCACCACCGCGCCCTCCCCCTCCCACCCTCCCTGAACCTACTTTCACTGCACTGAACCTTCTCTCGCCGCACTGAACCTGCTCCCACCGCACTGAACCTGCTCCCACCGCGCTGAATCGGCTGTCACCGCACTGAACCGCACTCACGTGCCCAGGAGCGCCTCCATGTCCTCCTCCTCCACCTTGGACACCAGGCTGTCCTGCGCCATCATCGACTCGCTCTCCACCCCCACCGCCTCGCCCTCCCCTTCCTCTGTCAGCCGCGCTCCTCCTGGCAACGACTTGGCGTTTTTCTGTGCAGTTGGGGATGGGGGTTGGGGGGGTTGGGCAGGGGTAGAGAACGGTGAAAGTTAATCAGAAATGGTTTCATAAGCTCGCCCTCCCCCTCCTCTGTAGCTCTTCCTGCCGCGCAGCCTAGCTCTTCCTGCCGCGCAGCAAGGGGTGGGGAGTGGGGATGTGGGGTTAGGTGGTCCTTGCACGTCCTGATGTGCAGCCATTCTATCCCAGAAAGAACACCAGTTCACTGCACACAAATCGCACCCCCACCGCACCACACCACACCCCACCCCACCGCACCCCATCCCACCCCACCACACTCCTCTCCACCCCATCGCACCTTGGCCCAGAGGGCGAGGTCGACCACGTCGAGCCCAATGACTTTTGGGAGTGTCTTGAGGTAGTCCTTGCACATCTTGAGCAGCAGAAACACCAGCTGGTTCCTGTGGGTGGGGATAGAGGGCGGCAAGGGGGGGGACGGGATCTGCTGCCTTATTGGCATAATGGGCATCGCTTTCAAATATTCCTTGCACATCTTGAGCAGCAGAAACACCAGCTGGTTCCTGTGGGTGGGAATAGAGGGCAGGGCAGCAACGGGGAGGCATTCGTTAGTGGCACACTGGGTGGGCAGCGCTGTCAGATAGTCCTTGCACATCTTGAGCAATGAGCAGCAAGAACACGAGCTGGCTCCTGCGGGTGGGGATAGAGGGCAGCAATGGGGAAAACGTTATCAGATGCCTTTCAGTCGCAGGCCTGCATGTGCATGTGTGTGTGCATGCATGTGCACGTGCATGTGTGTGTGCATGCATGTGCACGTGCATGTGTGTGTGCATGCATGTGCACGTGCATGTGTGTGTGCATGCATGTGCACGTGCATGTGTGTGTGCATGCATGTGCACGTGCATGTGTGTGTGCATGTGTGTGTGCATGCATGTGCACGTGCATGTGTGTGTGCATGCATGTGCACGTGCATGTGTGTGTGCATGCATGTGCACGTGCATGTGTGTGTGCATGCATGTGCACGTGCATGTGTGTGTGCATGCATGTGCACGTGCATGTGTGTGTGCATGCATGTGCACGTGCATGTGTGTGTGCATGCATGTGCATGTGCATGTGTGTGTGCATGCATGCATGTGTGTGAGTGAGAGAGGGCCCACCTGTCGTCGCCTGGTCGCCCATTGAGGCTGTGAGCTGACCTGGTAGTCCATTGAGGCAACTATCAAGTGCGTGTGTGCATGCATGCATGTGTGTGAGAGGTCCATTGAGGCAACTATCAAGTGCGTGTGTGCATGCATGCATGTGTGTGAGAGAGGGCACACCTGTCGTCAACAGTCCTCGTGGTCCATTGAGGCTGTGAGCTGTCCGTCTTCTCGTCAAACACCTGGCAGCACGCCATTGGAAGAGAGAAGAGAAACGAAGAAGACACGGGTGAGAAGGAAGATGAGATGAGGTGTCATGTCATGCATGTATGGGTTCGTCTGAGACACTTAAAGCCAGGGTCTCAAGTAGACCAAGTGCTTTGCAGTCGATGAAAAACGGGCCTGTCTGATTGGTTTACAATTTTGGGGCCAGAGTTTTGACAAATCGAGACTCTCCAAAGAACCCACTTTCCGCCCAAGTGCTTTGCACTTGCACGGCCAACCCTTACATGAGACCCTGGCTTTAAACGAAGCACCACACACACGAGCTGACTTCTTTGGGCGGCTCAAAGAAAATATTTCTTAGGCCTCTTTTGAAAAGGGAGATGAGATGAGATGAGATGTGATGTGTTGTCATGCATGCATGTGTTGTGTTGTGTTCTTCTGAGGGTCCCAAACAAGCACCAGCTCCATCCATGCTCGCGAGTGAGTGAGTGAGATGCTTCCGAGAGGGTGAGTGACGAGGAAGCGAGTGAGTGAAAAAGCGGCCTACCAGGAGGAAGGAGCGGCCTGTGGTGTCACTTAGACATGAGCACAAGGGCGAACACCTGTTCGGTTCGCCTCGAATTGCTTAAAGTGTTCGCCAAACAGTGTTCGAGGTTCGCCCGAACACGTTCGTGTTCGGGCCGCTGCTGCAATTTGCCCCGCGACGAACACGAACGTGTTCGAGGTTCGCCCGAACACGCCTTCACAGGCGAACGGCGAACACCTGTTTTTGCTTAAAGTGTTCGCCGAACCGAACAGTGTTCGGTTCGGCAAACGGATGTGTTCGTGTAGGGGCGAACACGAACATGTTCGTGTTCGCCCCTTGCTCATCCCTAGTGTCACTGGTGACTAGCTCAATGCTCGTGAGCGAGTGAGTGGGTGAGTGAGTGCCTGTTGTAAGAACTACAGCCTACCAGGAGGAAGGAGCGGCCTGTGGTGTCACTGGTGACTAGCTCAATGCTCGTGAGCGAGTGAGTGGGTGAGTGGTGCCTGTTGTACGAACTACAGCCTACCAGGAGGAAGGAGCGGCCTGTGGTGTCACTGGTGACTAGCTCAATGCTCGTGAGCGAGTGAGTGGGTGAGTGAGTGCCTGTTGTAAGAACTACAGCCTACCAGGAGGAAGGAGCGGCCTGTGGTGTCACTGGTGACTAGCTCAATGCTCGTGAGCGAGTGAGTGGGTGAGTGAGTGCCTGTTGTAAGAACTACAGCCTACCAGGAGGAAGGAGCGGCCTGTGGTGTCACTGGTGACTAGCTCAATGCTCGTGAGCGAGTGAGTGGGTGAGTGAGTGCCTGTTGTAAGAACTACAGCCTACCAGGAGGAAGGAGCGGCCTGTGGTGTCACTGGTGACTAGCTCAATGCTCGTGAGCGAGTGAGTGGGTGAGTGAGTGCCTGTTGTAAGAACTACAGCCTACCAGGAGGAAGGAGCGGCCTGTGGTGTCACTGGTGACTAGCTCAATGCTCGTGAGCGAGTGAGTGGGTGAGTGAGTGCCTGTTGTAAGAACTACAGCCTACCAGGAGGAAGGAGCGGCCTGTGGTGTCACTGGTGACTAGCTCAATGCTCGTGAGCGAGTGAGTGGGTGAGTGAGTGCCTGTTGTAAGAACTACAGCCTACCAGGAGGAAGGAGCGGCCTGTGGTGTCACTGGTGACTAGCTCAATGCTCGTGAGCGCTCCCAATCGGTACGACTTGAGCAGCTGTGGGGGGAAGAGGGTTGCGGCGGGGGAAAGAGTGTTGCAGGGTGGGGGGGGGAGGGAGATGGGGGGAGGGGTGGGGAGGGTGGGGGGGGAGAAATGGGGGGAGGTGGGGGGCCGACGTGGGTGGGAGAACGACGTTGGGGGGTGGAAAGGCGCAGGGACGGGTGGTGGGAAGGGAGGGTGGGACAAAGGAAGGAAGGGGAGGGAGGGGGAAAGGGAGAGAAGGAGAGGGGGAGCTGGGCGAGAGAGTGGAGACGACTGCTGTTTGACTGCATAAGCAGAATCAGAAAGGCTGAGCAGAAAGATTTAGGTCTGGCAGGTTTGGAAGAGGTTTTCCAGGATTGGTAATATGATGGCAACATCAGGAGGTGCGGGGATGATAAAAAAAAACAAAAACAAAAACAAAACAAAACCGAACCGAACAAAACAAAGAGAATAAAAGCGCCGACCTCTAGTCCTTGTGGTCCGGGCTTGATGATGTGGATTTTCGGCTTCTGTTTCCCCGTGTTCTCCTTCCGCCTCACTGCCAGTGGAAGCGGGAATAGGCATCATAACAATTCAATCTTTAGAATTAATAGAATTAAAGCCCATGATAGCCAACGTTTACTACACTCTCGAAAACCGTGGTCAGTTCAATGTCGTAGCGTAACTGTGCATGCATGGCATATCACAAATGTCTCAACATGTATCATATCAGGAATGACCAAAGAGAGGGGCCTTGCTATTCAGGCTCGTACGTATCAGCAATAGTTACACACGACTTATCCACAATGACCTAAAAAAAATGTACCAGCAACTGCAGTACACGACATTGCTCACCGCCAATAGCGAGGATACGCGGTTTGCTCTGCAGTCGCCCGCGTCGCCCGGCGACGGTCCACGACGCCTGGTTCTTGGAGAGTTTCATCGCCATGAGAATCGTCTGCGACGGATCTTCCAGCAATGCCTCCACCTGCTTCGTCAGGTCAGTGCTCCCCGCCATCGCGGCTGGCGAAACTCCGGCGAAATGTGACGAAAGCTAGCGAAGGAGGGGACGGTCTCTGGCGCTCGCGACTGACGGCGAACGCTGGTTACGACGTTGGCAGCAACTGAAGGCAACGTCCGCTGCTACGTTCGTGAAAACGCAGAGACAGACGGAAACCTAAAGCGTCGCAATCGTGGGAAGTGTCCTGGCAAACTGTCCTGGCAATCCGATGGTTTTAAGAATCACAGAGCTTCAAATGGAAGACTGAAAGCGGGAGTAAATTTTCACGAAAGCTGGAGAGCAGTCACGAAATTCAGGAAAAAGGGTAACTGGTCGCGATGCGGGAGGGACGGGATGAACCACACCGAGGAGGAGCGAGCAGAGTCTGCTAGTGGTGTCTATCCGCCACAAACGTAAATTAATCTCATAGTTGTTCAGTGGCAGCTGGCTGAGCAACGTTCCGTGAGCTACAGGTTTAGTAGTAGTCCAAGCTTGCTTGCAGGTGACGAACCTAGATAATGATGATGATGGCGGCAATATCTTGGCTCGGATCGGGGTGGTCGGACTGGACACCCTAGGTATTGTCCGCGTTTGGGAGTGCAGCACAGGGGGATGCAGTTTCGTTCGCGAAATCCAGTGCTACATCTATTAGAACGATTTTGTGTTATCTTGCCTGGTGATATACCGTAGTCTTTAACCAGCTCATAAACTACATTATTGTTTCTTTGGTATCTCATCTTGTAGATTCATCCAGCTTAGAACCTTCTTGTTCCTTGTTTATGCTATAGGGATCATGCTTGTGCACACCTAAGAAAGCTGCTAATGGAACAAGTCTTTTGGACTTAGTACTTTATTATAAAAAAACAATACAAAAGTAACTGCAGGATGTACCCTATAAGAATGAAGATATGAAAGAAATCAGGAAGGTGTCACCCTTCCAGAAGAATGTTTCGCACGGCGGCTGTAGCCCTGCGAAGTTAGTAACTCCTCCCTTCTATCCTTGCACCTGGAAAATTACCCCTTCACGCCACATTGCAGCGGCAAAAGGCTACAAGCGCCGTGTGCCAGCACATTCCATCATGCTTGTAGCGAGTATGGGAAGGAGGTTGAGGAAGTCAGGTACAATACGGTAGAAGGAAGCAGAAACCAGTGGTATGAAGCTCGTTGATATGAGCGAAGGAGTAGGAAGCAATCAGGCCTGGCTGTTCAGTGCTCTCGCTTATCCTTTGTCTCTTGTGGCGGGTGATGATCCCATTCCATGCCATCACCCTCACCCTCACCCTGCATTGTCAGGGGCATCAGTTGTGTGAGAGGAGCAGCAGTTACAAATGCATCCCACCAATGCTGCTGCTGCTCCTGCTCCACGTGCTGATCCTGCTGGTGTTTCTGCAGCTGCTGCTGCTGCTGCTGCTGCTGCTGCTGCTGCTGCTGCTGCTGCTGCTGCTGCTGCTGCTGCTGCTGCTGCTGCTGCTGCTGCTGCTGCTGCTGCTGCTGCTGCTGCTGCTGCTGCTGCTGCTGGTGCTGCTGCTGCTGCTGCTGCTGCTGCTGCTGCTGCTGCTGCTGCTGCTGCTGCTGCTGCTGCTGCTGCTGCTGCTGCTGCTGCTGCTGCTGCTGCTGCTGCTGCTGCTGCTGCTGCTGCTGCTGCTGCTGCTGCTGCTGCCATTTCTGCTGCTCTTGCTGCTGCTGTTGCCACTGCTGCTGGCCTTGCTGGTACTTTTGCTGCTTAACCTGCTGCTGCTGTGCCTGCACCTGCTGCTGCTGCTCCTGCTGCTGCTGCTTTCTTCGGCCTAGCAGCAAGCTCAAGGGAGCATCTGTAACCCCCAGGTCCTGCGCCCGCTGCACTCGTACAGTTGTTGCTGCTGTGCCGTGAATCCCTGCCGAACCTCCAGGAATCCCTGCCGAACCTGGGAAAGTGCTGCTGCTGTAAATTTCAGAGGGAGCTGCAGGGGTGCTACGGCTCTGAGGTAACGTGGGGATTGCAGGGAGCGCATGGGTCTTAGCAGGAAGGGAAAAGGCTTGAGAGAGGCGGGTGTCGGAAGAAGGGTACGAGACGGTGTGTGCTTGGCTGGTGGATGGGAAAGCAGAAGCGAGGGTGGTCGAAGGGAAGGCTGCAGCGATAGTACCAGGGGAGGATGGCTCTAGAGGTGAGATCGGCCGGGGGGAGGGAGTGGGAGAGGGGGAAGGGGAGTGGGAGTGGGAGGGTGAGGGAAAGGTGAAGGCTTGGGTGTTTGCGGTGGGGGATAGGAGTTGGAGGTTGGAAAGCAGTGGAAGCTGGGGAGAAGAGGAGGGAATGGAGGCGGATGGAATGGAAGGAGCCTGGTCACCGGCATCTGAAGCTGCTAATAACGAGGATAGGGCGTGTGAGGAGGCAGCCTGGGAAGGGACGACCGGGGAAGGTGTTACCTGGCTAAGGATGCGGGTGACAGAGTCAGATATAGCGCTAGAGGAGAGAGCAGTGGAGGGGAGAGCGATAGAGGGGAGAGTGGTAGAAGGGAGGAGGCAGGGAGAGAAGGTGGGCGATGCAAAGGCTGAAGAGGATGACAGCACAGGGAAGCACAGAGAGTGCCATGCTTGCTGCTGCTCCTCCTGCTGCGGTTGCTTCTGAGTCGACTCAAAAGGCTGCTCGTGCTGCTGTCGCTCTAAGTATTGATCCAAGAGAGACTGAGACCGCAACGCCTCAGCTCCCGCACACTCCATCTCAAACCCAAACCCTGATTCTACCCCTTCGCCTGCCACCGCTGCTGCCGCCAATGCTGCTGCCGCTGCTGCTTCTTTGGAGGGGTTCTCAAAAGGGCATGCCATGCCAAAGCCTGATTCTGCCTCTGCTCCTGTCGCCACTGCTGGAAATGCGTTCTGGGACGTCTGAAGGCCTGCTGGCAGTGCTGAGATTGACAGTTCTTTCTTCTCTTTTTTCTGCTGCTGCTGCTGCTGCTGCTGCTGCTGCTGCTGCTGCTGCTGCTGCTGCTGCCATGTGTCCACAAAAGGCAATGACACGCCTCCCATAGCCACATCACTCCCTGCTACCCAACACTGCTGCTGCACTAACTCTTTCCCTCTCAAAAGGTCCAGATTAGCTGTAAACATCCCTCCGCCCACCTGCTCCCCCTGTCCATCCATCTGACCAACACACACACCACCCACACTACCCACACCAACACCTGAATACTGACAAGTGCCCACTGCTCCCGCTCGCACTGTGGATCCTCCCATGCTCACGCCCTCACTTTTGACTGTAACCTGGTTACCACCAGAGCCGTCTGAAACACGAGCCTCCCTCTCCTGCACCTGACCTCCTACAGCGGCGTTTTCAGTCGGAGGTAATTCCTGAACCATATCCGAGTCGGATGTGGCATTCCCATGAATCAGCAAGCCTGTGACGGAAGCAGGGAGGCGTCTAAGGGGGATATGCAAGCGCTGGGAGATGGGCGGGCGGGAGTGAGGGGGGTTCGGTGCGTCATGGTTATGCTCATTAAGGTAGTTGATTATAGGGGAGAGAGGAGCTGAAGGGGCGACTCCAGTGGCAGCAGCAGCAGCATCAGCACCAGCAGGGGTAGAGCTAGCAGATGGGAGGAGAGTGGTGCTACCAGCAGCAGAAGGATGATCCGCTTCAGCTACTGCTCCTGATTCCACCCGTCCACTAGTGGACGCGTAGGAAATTGCGCTGCTGATAACACCCGGTGTGATCCTCCAGTCGACTATTTTTTTCGCCGGGCAGGGTTCTCGGTCAGGATGCAAGCTGACCTGGCGGGGGTCGCCGAGAAAGCAGCGGTAGTAGGAGCGGATACAGCAGGAATCAACCACTAGCGGTTTTTGTCCGTATTTGCACCAGTCGTACCCGTCGTCTGGCAAGTCAACCGGGAGCCACTGGTACCTCTGCCGCCCGCTGATCCCGCCACTGCTGCCACGCTGCCGCCCGCTCTGCCGCCCGGAGGAGCCGGCGCTGCCGCCGCTCCGCCGCCCGGTGGTGCCAGGGTTGCTACCGCTGTCGTGGTCTGCTGTGGTATCCAAGCCTCGCTTGCAGGTTCGGGCAGCAGCAACAGTGGTAGTGGCAGCAGCAGCAGCAGCAGCAGCAGCAGTGGCAGTGGAAGTGGCAGCAGCAATAGCAGTGGCAGCAGCTGTGGCAGGAGGAGCAGAGGCAGCATGTGTGGCATGAGGTGATAGCTGGGGAGCAGAGCATAGGGAGAAGAATGCTGATACGGACGGAGGGGAGGGAGGGGGGCAATCCAACACACCCCCAGTTGTAGCTGGGCGTGCCAACATTGATCCAGCAGACGAAGGACGATCTAACACTGCCCCAGCAGAAGCAGAGCAGCGGAAAAAGGATAGGGGATGGTCCGGAGTGGCGGCAATCTCTGTAGCGCCCATTCCTGGGACGGCAGCTGTAGCGGCAGCAGCAGCAGCGGCAGCAGCGGCGGCGGCGGCTGTAGCAGCTGGGGTGGCAGCAGCAGGAGGTGCTGTACTAGCAGCAGTGCTGCTTCTCCGGGACCTTGAACGTGCAAGGTACTTGGCACGGTGTGCGGTTCTGCAATGCGAAGGCAAGAGGAGAAGAAAGGAGGGGAAAGGTTAGTAAGAGGAGAGGAGAGAGGACATCAGCCTGGTAGGAGGTTTTGCCTCAAGATATACTAGGAGGAGGGGACAGGAAGGGAGAGTGGGGAGAGGGAGAGGGGGAGAGAGCAGAGTGATTTGGGGAAGTCGTTATAAGGGAATGAGGCGAGGATGAGGTGGGGGCGTGGAGCGAGCAGAATGGAAGCAAGGAAGGAGGCAAGCACATTGTTTACTAGGGAGAAGCATGGATATGAGATGAAGACACAAGCAAGGATATGAGATCGATATGAGGGATGATGAGATGAGGGGTTGAGGGTTCCTCGAGGAGAGTGCCAAACTTTAGAAATCATAGGGTTTCAACTTTCAGCACGTACAGTTTCAAGCTGTGTGACTTGGGTACGGCTCCTTGCCGTCGTACGGTTTCAGAAGGGCACAGCACCGCCCCTGCTTCTGCTTCTGCTTCTGCGTGTGATGCGGCGGTGGATACTGCAGGGCTGGGGCCCGAACCTCTGGGGCTGGGTGCCGAGCCTGCAGGACTGGGTCCCGAGCCAGAGGGGCTCGGGGCCCCCGAACCAGCGCCATAATGGCCTGGTGCCGACCCAGCGGCAGAGGTGGCGGAAAACTCGCGGCAGCCGCCGCTGGTGAGGGGGGAAGGGGGACGATGAGACGCCGCCGTCGCCGCCTTTGGAGGGGTAAAGAGCGGAGTCAGTGCCGGGCGGCGGAACCCACCCTCTTGCAGCGGGGGTGCCGCCACCAGCGACGCCGCTCCCGATGCTCCTGCTGCCGCTTCTGCCGCCAACGTTGCGGGTGTCCATTCCATGACGATCGCGCGGCCTGTGGCATCACCTTGATCCCCGCCGCTGGGTGCGGTGGATGCAGCGGCGGCTGTGGCGGCAGCGGAAGCGGCGTCGCTTTCTTGCTTCACGAGGACCAAGCCAACGTCACAGTCGTCCCACTCCCACTGCCGGTCCATACTAGCGATGATAGCTCCGGGATGATCGCGCTACTATTACGGTAATATATGGGGGCCGTATTCAACTCTGTGGATCAGCTCGAGCTAGCCTCAGCTCGTATCGACTCTATGGAAAATTAGCTAATGGACGGCTCAACAAGGGCTGCCGACGCACACGATCAGCTCAAACTGATCGCGAAAAAAAGTAACTCACGGCACGAAATTATATCGGCGTGTCGAAAAAAGACGATCACCAACGACGCTGCCGTGAGCATTTATATGCGTACGGAGTGACGCAAGGGTCGCGACTGAATCAGGCTGTTGCTGCGTTTTTACTTCGAGATTTGAGGTACTTGGCGTTTTTTGCAGCGGCTTCTATATGTATGGCTCTTGCTGCCTGTGCCAGCACGGATGGCTCCGCGTATCATGAGCTAGTGTCACGCAACTTCTTGCGAACAACGGGGGGAATGCACGAGGCAGGACTGTCTACTGTGCACACAGCGGAGCTGTGAAATTTGAGTGCAATTTCCAGTGTCTCCGCGTGTGCGCTCAATTTCCCAGCGAGCCGCTCCGCGTACAGCACATTGGCGACTGCGGAGCGCTACCCGCATGACGCGGTATGGAAGGTCGTTTGGTTACTGTTTGCCAGATTCCCTACTCTCTCATTCGCTGAAATAATGGTCGGGGGATGACGTTCGCTCTGCCAGCAATTCGGTTCAGTCCCTAATACGGACAAACGGCGCGACAACTTGATTGCTACGCGGAACAAACTGCCGGGACACTATGATTGTAAGCAACCATCAGAGAATCTGTGCTACAGTGCTTCGTTCCCGCCATGAACCCTGGATAAACACCCTCACGAATAATCGGGGTGTACTCTGTCTGGTTCACCTCCTTGACCCCCAAGCTTGCGATGATTTATCAATCTGAGCATTTGGGCGCTCGAAATGCGCTAAACAAAGTACAGTATGGTAGCAGATCGATGTTTTGCCGTCGATCGACACTTCAATCACGCCCTCAGTCGTAATCTGCCCACTCTCAAGTTGCGGCAAGCGGCCCTCTTCCTGGTACAACATTGGCTGTTGAATTGAAGCTTCCCACACCCCTAGGAAGCCACTCAACAACCATTGACTCTCGTCAGGGTAGTCAAGAATTTTGGATTAAAGCAATTACACAAGAAGGGCAGCTGGTACTTAGACCCCGCTCGCACCCCCCCCTCCTCCCGCCCTCTCGCCCCCACCTCACAAGTCTGCTTCCTCAATGATCGTGTTGGCGTGTCGTTCGTCCCCGCTCTTTCTTGCCAGCACCACGAACGAAAGTGAGGGAGGCGCGTTGCAACAGTTAGGGTTTCTATGGCAGTTCAGGGCGGGTCACACGTTCGTTGCAGCTGATGCTTCACTGTTCAGGATGGTATGTAGCGGTTCAAAGCGGTAAAGGGAACATACAGCTCTATAGTGGACAACATCGTAGCCAACCGCTAAAGTGCATCAAATACGAGCCGGGCAAGTGCAAGAAGACAACTGCCACCCATAACTGTACTGCAGTCACGGCCCAATCCAGAAAAGGCCCCTCAATCTGAGCACACCCAGAATCCCAGAATCTCAGGTGCCGTGAGCGAAGCTGGTCCGCAAGTGCTCCTCACGCGTCAGCAACTACCTCTGAACTGAAACCCGACTCAAACTGTCTTTTGAACAGCAGCCCTCCAGCATTTCTTCTATATTTTATAATTGTTACGAGCGCAATCTAGTGAACGAACGAAGATTGCATTAGAAGCAAACAATACACGGAGCCAAGGCATGAGCGAAGGCATATCGGCAGCGGTAACGTGCTCGCGAAATAGTGCCCTACGGGCTGGATGCCAAGGTTGGGAAATGTTGAGGCGTAGGACCGGATCGCGTGTTACCAGCCGAGCCGGGTGGTTTATGCGCGAGGGTTGTGGTGGCGGGACAGTGTCGAGGCGAGCGTCGCGGGGTGATAACGGGCTACTGTTGGGTTTACAGTGGCGGGAATAGTCCTGTACGCGGTATGCTGTGTGACGTGAAGTAAGGAAAAGCTGTTTTCTTACACTACCCCCCTCCACAAGGGAATCCCCTTATGAAACCGCGTGCATATTGCGGAAATTCCGGCTGCACTGATAATCGGTTAGGACATGGTGGTTTTCAATCTTGTCCAAAGGGACCCAACTTTCCTCGGTTGGCGTTCGGTCTTTCCAGCGAATCTGGAACTCGATGCGTCGTGCTCCACTTTGGTCGCGTCCTCCATGACTCCGTATTTTTTCGGGTGCGATGACTGGCTCGGTTGGCGGGCGGGTCATGCTGGACAGGCGGATACATGGCAGTTGACTCGTTGACGGGACGTAGGGGCGGAGGAGGCTGGCGTGGAAGGACCGGCTGACGTACCAATCAGTGGCCAGGAGAAGGTGGGCGGTTACGGTGGTGATCACGTGCTTGATGCGAAATGGCCCGCAACATCTCAGGCGTAACTTTCGTGTGATGGGTAGGCGGAGGTTTTGGGTGTCGAGCATATCGAGGTTGTCAAGTTGGTAAGTGTCGGGGCGTCGGTCGCGATCGGCGTTGCGCTTAGCGATGATGTTTGATATTTTTTATGGAGTTTGCTGCGCGGGTCCGGGTTGCTTGCAAAATTCCGGCGAACTGCTGCGCAAGTGGGACGGGGTTCTCGGGGTTCGGTGTCATGGGTACTGTAGGGTTCTGCTAGTATTTGAGATAACGGTGACTATTGGGTGGTGGCGGACGTGGAGTTGTTGTACGCAAATCCGATGAGTGGCAACTTCTGCTCCCACGTTGTCGGGTCGTCGCACGTGGCTCGAATTAATTGCTCCATGGTCTGATTGGTGTTCTCAGTTTGACAATCGGTTTCGGGGTGGTACGACGAACTGAACTGTAGTCGAGTGCCTAATTGCTGCCACATGTTCTGCGAAGAGTCACTCGACAAAGGTAGTGAGCTAGACTACGGGGGGGGGGGGGTTGGCACGAACTACTAGGAGTGATCGTAGCTTTGCTAGTTCCTTAGCACTTGCACATTTACGGGAGAAATCGGCAAGAGTTTTACTAGGCAAAATTCACATTACAGAATGATAGAACAAGCAATGACAGAATTGACTACATAAGGCACCTAGCAACCCTGCAGCTAGCCTGGTCGACCGCCAGCACAGCTTGGTCGACCGCCTGCCAGCGTTGCGCAGAGGAGCCACGCCAGCACTGCAGAAGGGCGACCTGCCAACACTGCAGGTCGACGGCGTGCCAGCGCTGCAGCAAAGCGGCTGTCCCAGCGTTGCCCCGTAGAAGACAGCAGTGCGCACGCTCGCAGGTGCGCGCAGACGATTGGCCCGACTTGCACCGTTGTGCATCCGTCGGCTGTTGTCTGCGCCTGACGAGCCACATCGACTTCGGGATACCAGCACGAAGTCGCCGTCGCCATCGCGACCTCGACGACGTTCGCGTGCCTCCGCAGAACTCGTCGAACAGGTTACCCGGTCGACCTGGTCGACCACCAAGTGCTCCGGTCGACCACCAGTGCTTCTGGTCGACCACTGGGTCCCTCTGGTTAACCACCAGGTCCCTCTGGTCGACCACAGCTCCCGTCCAGCTACCCCCTGGTCGACGCACCCCTTCCGTCGACCAGAACTGTCAGCTGTTGTCGTCGAGCTCCCCTCGTCGATCGCTGCTCACTTGTCAGGTCGACGGACTGCTCCGTCGACCTCCCGGTCGAACTGCCCCTCCTGGTCGACGGCCCACCCATCGCCCAGACCAGTCAGTTGCAGCTGTTGAGCTCCCTGGTCGACAGCAACACCACAGCGGTCCCCTGCAGCTCGACCAAGCCTGTCGAGCAGCTCTCCCACTGTGAACGGTCGGCTGATACTCCCGTACATCCGACCAAGTCGTCGGCGTTGCCCAAGCGAGGGCGGGGCAACACTCCATTCCCATTAACACTCCCCTGCCGCGCTCACGCTTGGGCCTCCAGCCCACACGGCAGTACTCCACGGAGAAAACTCGTCCTCAACGTGCACCCCACACACAGCACGCCGTCACCGCACCAGCCGTGCAGAAGGGCACGGCACCTACTGCTGCACCTCATCGTCGCCGTCGCCGACGTCGGCCAGGCGAACTTGGCCGATGGCGACAGAGCACCGGTTGAAAGCCAGAAAATGCAGCGCCTTTGTCAGGAAGTCTGCCGGCTGCTCGGTGGTCGGGATGTACTTCAGCACGAACTTCCCGCGCCTCACCATGTGCTGCAGCCAGGCATAGCGTCGCTCCATGTGCTTGAGGTTGCCCGTCATCCCCAAGCCCTCAGCGACCGTGATCGCCGACTTGTTGTCCACGCGGAGGACGGTCGGCTTCCCAGCGTCGAGCAGCTTGAACTCTGCTAGGAGAAAGCGAAGTCGACGCCCCTCCTTGCCGGCTTCCGTGGCCGTGACATACTCTGACTCGGTCGAGGAGAGCGTCGCGCACTTGATGCGCTGGCTCGACTAGGAGATCGCGGCCCCTCCGAAGACGAACACGTAGCCGCCCGTGCTCGTCTGGTTCTGCTTGTCGCCCGCATCATCGACGTCCACGTAGCCGATCATCTCTAGCGACTCTGGTCCACCGCCGAACTCCAGGGCGGTGTCGCGGGTGTCGGCGAGGTAGGCGAGGCAGCGGTCGACCTCGCGCCAATGCTGGCCGCTCCTCACCGTGAGGCCGCTCCCCAGCTTGCTGCAAGCGAACGCAATGCCCGGCCTCGTTGTCGTCGCCACGAACTGCAGCGAGCCGATCTTCTGCCGGTACTCCTCCTACTCGCGGTCCTGGGCCTCCTCGTCGTCGAACGTCAGCTTAGCGTAGGCGTCGACCGAGACCGGCGTCTTCGGGACT